AGTGAAGCATGGTTTGGTAGTGCAACTCTCCAACTTCTTTAGCGCTATTTTCGCAACGTATCGCCGAGCGTCGTCGTGCTAGAGAAATCCACCGTCACAGCTGGAGCTGTCTGAATAAATGTGCAGCCGAATCTGCAGGATCTGCAAGATTTCATCAAGTTCGTGATAGTGCTTCTCTGGTGTGATTGTTTTGCCAAGATTGAAGACTTTACATTACCTGATTTTTTAAAATTAGTTTTACGCGACCCTTCATCACATCAACTGTGCGGATCCCAAAACTTCTTGCGCCCCATTCATTTTCCTTGCACTCATCGTCAACAATGGTCTTCAAGCATTTCCCATGTCGTTTCGGCTGCTCGTTGATGAATTACTCTTTTTTTAAATGAATGTTGTAGAATGATGGCTGGATCGATTTTCCTTGCAATCTTGGATCTAGCCTGGCTAAGGCGTTCCGACGTGAATAGGAGGAGAGCGCTGGAGAGTGTGTCGAACTGGCATCTTTACTTCCTGGTCGATGACATTACTAACCAACCATCTGCAAAAAACACAGTGACGGCCGCGAAGCCAATTCCATAATCGTGAAATCGTTCCCATCTGCGAATGAAGATGATTGGAGCTGCCGGAGTATGACCGGCGATCGTTTGGGTGATCACACATGAGGCCGCCATCATTCTCTTGTAGTCCAACTCACTATTCTTTTCATCCGTCTTTCTTCTCTTCTTCCTATTATGAAACTGGCCCATTTGTGCCTCGTTATCCGTCCATATTCTTCGTTCTCTTGAATGTGGGAGAGATTCCGAATATCTGAGCTGCACATTCCAGCCACATGTTGTGTGTACATGTTGTATTTCACAAGATATCCCTCAAGAGCTCTGTTGGCGGGGCGCAGCATTTTTGACGTGTTTGAAATACTAGCCCACTTCTCTGTGGCACAACAGAGTGCTGGGAGGACCGCTGAATCGAAAAAGGAAGGACAGATCTTTAAGTTCAAGTGGTGTGTGGCTTTATTCAGTGGCCTGAATGTGGCTTCCTCCCAACGTTTTACTGCCTCATCGTGGCTAGGAGGTTTTCCTGGGTGAAGCTCAGCGATATGCAGCGGGGAGTTCATGCCCCCAGCAGGGTCTCCCACGCTGACAAGGTGTCCAACATTTTCATCAGGAAGCCCAGCAAAGAGTAAACCAATACCAGGATCGACCACCGTCCTAGAATCAAACTAGCCGCATGGTGGCAAATCTCCCTCCAAGTGTGGGGACTACCTGTGGTGGTGACGTCCAACGTGTAGCAGACTTTGGGACTCAGGGGAACTACAATGGCTAAGTCAGCAAAACTTCGAAACAATGGAGATTATACTGGGGCCTGCACAATCAGTGAGGACGGACTGTCCAATTATCCAGGAATGCGGCCCAAGCTGCTCTCCTATACTGAGGAAATCGGCAGTGATATTATCGGTTGTGGAACTGCTTCTCTCTTCATGCTTTCTATCGCAGCTCAAAATTCAGATCGGAGAATGTAGAATCTCGGGTGGTTTTTCACCAGCGGAAATTTCGGGATCGATAACGAGGATTATGGGGCAGAAACGATTGTTATAGAACTTGTTGTTGTCAATTCCATGCCATATTAAGGTAGGATGTAGTCACAGTCTCATCATTGTTAACCCGAGCGGATAGCGAACATTGTAGTCGCACTGATCCCGACACTCTTCTTCAGAATGAACAGTTGTTGACTTACTTCTGGTCATTTTTTCTGTCAACATTGATTCAAATCCTCCTGCAAAGGTATTCTACAGCCGGCATTTATCATCACCCGTGTTGGGTGTGTTGCAGGAAGATCAACCTTCGGTCTCTTCTCGACCTATTCTCGCCTAGTACGTAATAATGAGATAAGTCATTTTTGCTGTTAGCGAAAAGTGCAGAACGAACTTCATGAAGATGATCACGTTACGACTATACCAATTTATGCGGCATCCACTTACTGAGCTGTTTTATATTTTTGGTGCTTTCCAACTGACAAGTGTTTAATCCCATGTTTTGAATTTTTTTTCAACCGATCAATAATTTTTAGAGGGTGGGCTTCAATTAACGGCTGCAGATGGTCATCATCAAATGGTGGTAGACCACCAGAACTTCCTCTATGAATACTCATATCTTCAGTATAAAATCTTACATACTGTGTGCGCATTGGACATTTGGAAGATAATCATAGGCCGTCCTTCAATGACATTTCGAGCTCCTACTATTCTTCTATAGAAGTTTGAACTCATAAAACAAAACAGTGCAATTGACATGACTTGAGAGTAACAAGACAACCAGCTTAAAACCGTTGTAAATTAAGTGTTAGGGAGCCGGTAACGCATTGGTAGTGATACAGTTCACTACGCGAACGGCCCAACCTACCTATGAGCTGGTTTGGCCTTCCACTGTGCCGATCAAAAAAATAAGTATCGGAAGAAAGTATTCGACGACAAAAAGTTAAGGAGGAAAGGAAAAACACTTAAAAGTTCCGTACATCAACAATGTAGGTAACAAATACATATTGGGATTTTTTGACAATATTCGTGAACGTCCGTTGAAAACGGCTATTATTTTTCAACCAGGCTAAATATAAAGGCATCAGGTGTACTTCAGTAAACAGTTTACACAGTTTTACGCGACTTCGTCATCTCATTCTGCCAAAGTAATTGTTTAGGTTAAAAAAAAACGGTCGCACTTAAAAGGTTAACGTTGTAGAGAGCGTTAGCTAAAAGAGCTTTCTTACAGTTTCGTCCCAGAAGAAGATCGCGTTGAGCCTTCCTTGCTGCGCGAATGGCGCTTCTCCTTTGACATAAATGCGCAGAAAGATGTGGACAGGTGCAGAAGGAAGTAGTTGCTGGATGTGCTCCAATATGTGTACGCCAGCTGCCTAGCAACGTGAGAAGTCCAGTGCACGCAGACATGAGGCTTCGCTTTGCTTCTCAGAAAGCCTGATAGGTGGTTACATACTCGCAACCGTGCTGGTTTAGTGATTACTGCTCACAGTTCCTCAAACAGTAACTCTATTCAGACACTTGCCAACATGACGGACTTATATGGGTAGCTATGCTCTACCAGACTGGCTCAAAATTTAGCAGTCGCGTATAACAATTGGGAACACACGGTCGCTTTTAGAAGGACGAGATTCTCCTTCCTCAATCGCCCAGTTAAATTTAATATAAGCTTTAACGGAGAAAAACATCGAAAGAAAATGTCTTCTGGTATGAGATCCAGAAAATTAGATCTCCATCTTGCGAATATAATAGAACTTACACATTGTTGACAAATATGTGCAGAACCAAGCTCATTTTGATCTAATAGAGTTCATGTTGAGCTGAAATACATCGGAAAGCAAAGAAAATTTTTTTTCTAAAGGAAAACACAATAAAGGGTAAAAATTATAAACATCAAGCGATGGGAATCCCAACATGATTTGTCAATCTTAGTGACTTTTTCTTTCACTGCAACGTTTCCTTATGCTAGTGATGAGCAATGGTGCCCTTTGCATTTCTGGTGAGTCTCACACTATTCAGTACTCCAACCGAGACCTCGCTTTGTCTTTTTCTCCGCCAATTTTCTTTCCTTTTTTACTGCAACGGTGCTATCAGCAAATGACCTGTCAATGGCAATGACCATAAAAGGATAAAGCTCTCGGCGTTGATCAATCCCTGAGGGATGCGCCATGCATTCGATTTCATTAAGCATCGTTGGAGGTGACTGAATGCATATCTGGCCTTTACGATAACTTGCGGTGGCCTGCCGATGTATGCAGTCAGTGCTGCTATCCTCTCAGACAATTTTGGTCTCTATTTATTCTACTTTTACTTGAAAAAACTGGCTGATAAAACAGCAAATGGCTTCGATTGGTGCAGCGGATAGCACGTGAGCGTAAGACTAGGGGAACGGTTATCTTCGAGGTTCACCTCTCATTATATCGAATTGGTTCTTCAGGAAACGATGCCAAACCATCAATATAAATTAGACGCAATGCGTCCTGAGATCTATACTCTTCGTGAGTAATACTGATTCAGGTGCTCAGGTATGTATAGAACCACTCATTAAGAGTAGGTCAGTCAACCTACACTGACCCTATATCACGAAAAACTATCATTACAACTAAACGTTAGCGCACACAGGATAGCACATGCTACTACACCACGTCAGTTGGAAGTTGAGAGTGAAATTATACTCACAGACAGAGTTAATTACCGACTTGATCAGGAAAATGAAAGCAAATTCCTTCCACTCATTTGGCATGCCAAACCTGCTCAATGTTCTCCGCCCATAGAGAAATAAACACCACAAGTGCGTCTAGGACCCTCCAGTTTTAACGTTTTTAGAGAGAAGGCAGGGGGAGATAGGTCATATAGCTCTACCACTATATAGTTTTGCTCTAAGGTGAGCTTCAGATTGGAACATCGAACTCTGGGTGGCGAAATGAATCCCCCTGTGCCCCATAGCTCGACAACCAAGAACAACTGGAAATAAAGTATGATATTGTGAGGACTTTTATTAATCGCAATGTTACACGAATTGGAGTATACATCTTAATAATTTACATTTATTACAGACATAATTGATAATTGAGAAAAGAGCAAATTGAGTATACCAGTACCATATTACACCGCTGCAACGAAATAAGTGAAAATGACTTTTTCGAAAAAACAAAGTAAAAAAAAGTGTGATTTGATAAAAGAAATTGTACGGCAATGCAACAATTCCATTATCCATGTATATAAATACAAATTGACTGGTAAAGTAATAGCAGGAATCAAGTCAGAAGGTGTGCACTAGCACGAAGCGCCGAGCCTTTTGCCTTTTCCATAAAGTTTTTTCAAAAAGTACTGGATTCGGAGGTCACCCATCTAGTAAGCTATCTTCGTGCCAGTTTTCTAAAAACCACCGACGATTCCTACATTACCTTTGCGAGTTACGTGACAATATACAAATAATGAAAAATGTACATAAAGATGAGAGTGAAAATCCAAGCTATTAAAGCTCAGCTGAATCAGCAAGTGAAATAGTAGTACAAGCTTCGATAGGTATACCAAGATATGCACAAAATTCACTACCATTCCTCACAGCTATCCCATTCGACTGCGGATTAAAGCGAGGCGCAAAGACGATGAGCTAAAAATGATGAAATTAAAAAAAAATTAAGCACTTCAACAACGATTAATGATTTTCGTATAAACGGGCTCTCAAATCAGGGATTAAAAAAAGTGGAAAAAAGCAGAGTTAAAAAGTCATCACGCTCTTTAATGGAATCCGATCAGAAATATAGAGCTTCAGCTTGTAAATAGGTACTTAACCGCAATACTTGCTCAAATAACTGATCTCATCCATTGAATGGCTGTCAATGATGCTGCATTGAGCTTTCATAAAAAGTTAATGCCATATTCCCTTGGTCGTTCAAAAAAAGCATTTTACAACATGAAAATTCTGAGCAATAAACTACAACGAAGCTATTGAAATATCAGGTGTACCAGTAAATGGGAAGACGATGACGACGATATCTACTTAGGACGAATGCACACTGACATTTGAGTGATTATCGTCTATTGTTCATTCAGGAGCTTATTCAGGAGCTAATGATGACTCATGCCGAGTACATTCATTACCTTATAACTCATAAGAATGCGTTTAATCCCTGAGAGAGTCCCGAGCTCTCAACTTGATTAACACAACGCTCAACGCTAAAATATGTGGAGCAACCGAGTGCGATGACGCCTATTTCAAAGTCGTTTGCGGAATTGCTGATTTTTAAACAATAGACGATAGTTTTTCGATAACAGGAGGAATCGAAGAGTTGATAATACAAGGACAGAATTATGGAATGAACCTTGCTTAATCTCTCTGTAGCCTATTTTCGATATGATGGTATAACCCACCATAGAGCCACACTACTGTCAACACTTGAAAATGTTTTGCAACTTATGTTCTGCTTTTGTGTTTTCGACACTCACCTACTTGATACGATCATCATGGCTCCTCATAGAAAACGGATTAACATAGCGGCGGATTAACATAGCGGCCAATTACCACATTATCCGTCAATAAACTCTTCCGAGGAAAAGGTATTTTGTAAATTGTTCAATGAAGAAAGCTTCCTATGGACTCGCCTAACACAACATCTGAGTTAAACAAGCTATCGAATGAGGGAAAAAAGCGGGATCAAAAAAGAAAGTGTATAAGATGCAATCACTTCGCCTATTTTACGGATACCACATAAGTGCAGAAATTCCGACGAATTTACTTATACGAATTAAAACTCGGACGTTCAGCAGTGCATATCGCTCGAAACACTACTGACATATAGAACCGGGAAAGCGCTAAAGAAAACAAGGTCCGATATTGGTTTGAAAGACTTAATAGTGGAGAATTTGACCTCGAAGATGAGCGAGGCCGCGGACGTATGACGATAAACTGGTGTCTTTGGTGGAAGCAAATTCATGCATGGTGCAGACGACAGGACTGGAAGGGAACATCTGGGAAACAGTTTATCAGTCCTCACTACTTGAGATGGCCCTACACAAGTTACCTATCAGAAAAAGAATCATTTGACAATCAGAGGCTAAAAATTATGACAAAGGCAGTACGCTATGAAGGAGTGATGGAATAACACTATGGGTGCATTGGTGTAAAGTTACAAAATTACGCAGTATTATAACAGTTGCAAGATAAAAATCAGAAAGAAACAACGAAACTGAGACATTTTTACTGTTTTATTTATTGCCCTCGTGGCAGGGGCAGGGTATTAGGCGAAATCAACCACAAAGACACTGAGATATTCGCAAAACGATTTAATATGGCCCGGAGTCCAAGTTTGTGAATATCTCAGCATCGTTATGGTTAAAATTTAAAAAGTAAAGTTATTACTCACTACGCGCTATTCCACAGTGATTACACTCACCCTGTGTTGCTCCAATATATGCTCAGAGATTCTCCGCTCTACAACATTTTGGCGACATATTTTGCAATGACGAAAACGCTTTGGCAGATCCACCATGTGTTGTCTAATGAAGTGATCGATCAAAACAACTCCCTAAAACATCAGTGCATACAATGCGTAGAAATCAACCTTAGTGAAAACGAAAAAAAACTGCCAACTTAATACCTTGTGATCTCGTCCCATTGCAACCATACACGCCTTACACACCTCAAACCGTTTCATAGCGTGCACGAGTTCATGTGAAATTTTTACACCACCAGTGATTTCGCGTTGCCATGGATCGGCAATACCACAAAGGTAACAACATGTCACATCGCAACTGCAATTATAACTGAAATTCTTATAAGATTTTAAAAAACAATGAATATTTCGTACAGCGCCTTAAAGAGAATAGAATAAACACGGCAGGTCAAATAATTAAGGGTAAAAAAGGTGTTGACAAACTTATCCCAAGATTTCGCTAAGTCAAAGGATGTGTATGCACTAAGGCACCAGAGGTCAAGTTCAGGTTCTACGAAGCTAAGTCCGAAAGTCCGACTTATACGGTACACACTCCTCCATATACCACCCAATACACCTTGATATGGTACGCGACTGAACCAAAAGAAGTAGATCATCGAAGAGTACCTGCGCTTCTCGTGAATTTTATTATGAGAGGACATCTTATCAGAGCTGTAGAATCGAGTAGCACAGTGACTGAAAACGCATCGGTAAAGGGTAAAATCAGAAAAGAATCATAAATAGATGAAATATGTCCACTAAAATTCTCGTTGTCAAAAAAAAACGATTCCCACTCTGATGCCATCGAAAACAATCCAGCGTGGGCATGGTTAATGTGTTTTCGGAAAGATTGAATGGATGAATGGTTTTCCCCACAATTCTTCAGAGGACAACATAAAGTGTAAACCACTGGAACGGATACTTCGTCGGCTGAAACAAATCACATAATGAGAAATGCAGCATTGTTGGGGAAATCGGCCAATAAAAATATGATGTAATATAAACCCATCTAACGCACATGAAAGCGGCTTGAAACTCAATAAAAGCCGACCAATCAAAAATAGAAGAAGACGAAGTTATAAAGCACTGCGAAAAATAAAGCGGTAAGCAAAAACATTATTAAATTAACCAATTCCACTCCGGCCAATTTCCCGTCGGCTACGGACCCTCTCGCTTTTTGACAATAGAAAATTTTTTATTAATAACTAGATTGTTTCAAGGGCCTTGAACATCATAGGATTGCAGAAGAGACTTTGTTTTATTACACTTGGCATATGAATGAGAGCATGCTACTATCTATTACATATTACCATGGTCCATATTGCAAATGCATTGCTATTGGTATTTGGAAGTACTTTGCAGTTCATATTTAGTCTATTTAGGTATTCCCATATCCACGAATTTTATGAAATAAATATAATGATTAAAGCAACAATAAACTAAGTAGTAAAATGGCTAAGAGAAAGGCAAAGCAAGGTCCTCAATTGCGCAATGCATAACATATGAACCTCCTGAAAAGGTAGTATTCCCAGGCTCCAATCTGGCCTAGGATCCTACGCTTTTGCAAATATCTCAGTACCAACTACTGATCAATGGATTTTTTCCGAAAAAAAAAGGGTTTTTGTAAATTACCAAGCGCATTGAGTGCCTTGTTAAGTTTTCTTATACCACCCCCCCCCCACACACATTTTGATCGAATTTCGATTTATTCAATATGGGCACACTGTAATCACCATAAGGGACGGAATGGGCTAAGCACAAATTTGCGGTTAAAAAACCCCCATGAATATAGAAGTGAATCATCGAAGAAAACCTACAGCATGAAGTTAAATAGCAACTTGTTTAGATTCAAAAAATACGAGGATAGTTTACATAATAGAACGGAAGTTCTACTTACAACGTCTTTTAAAATGGCTCAAAACAAAGTGTTCAATCATCTCCTCTTCAGTGCGGATGGCGCTACTAGTACTGCAGCATTCACTGCACACAAACTTATGTGGTAACTGATGGAACTGGTGCAAATGTACGTCAGCGAGAGAATTCAACGATCGACCACATCTCTACAAATTTTGCAATGCAACACTGACACGAAAACATACTAAAAATTACAAATGAAACACTGGTACGATATGGTTTACCTCGTCGCTGCATTTAACAAGTTCTTGAACGATCTTCAGCATTATTGCAACCGTGCTTGAATTTTGGTTCTTCACCATAGCCTAAAAAAGGCGAAGATAGGAAGAAATGCTAGAGAAAATGCGGAATTCTGCACTCATCGTACATCAAGAAGCTTCTCAAGTGCCTGCGAAAATTCCGCACTGAGATTTGCATACTGCGAGAAATTCACCACAGGCAATTCATTAAGAGCAGATGTAGCTCTCATTATTGCACCCGAGACATTTATAACCAATGAACGTGGATTGAAATGTCGGATGCATAATCGTGCCTGTTCTTGCGTGCGGAACTGAAACACATAAAGAAAAGGTAAGTCCGGCTTGAAGGCTGAACTAAGAAACTTACAACGTTAAGGACTTCTTGGGAAACAGAACCCTTCAAATACGGACAAACATTAGCTGCCCATTGCTCCCTGATCGCAGTGCTAGGAGGAATGAGGATCATGTAGTCAATGTTCATGGCTCCGGAAGATGATACCTTGTTACAGATAATACAGAACTGTATGACCACCGGCTGAAGAGAAGGTTTGTTAACCACAGCAAGTAAAATAAAAAGATTATCACAATATGTCTGAGGAAAAAAATCATGCTAATGTAGATGTCAAAATCTGAAGATCAACCAAAAACTAACCGTTACAGGCATAGGATACAGCGATGCTGGAAAACCACAAGAAGTGACGGATGAAGAAACTGCTGGTGGAGCAAAAATAGCAATGGAGTATGGATCTGGATAAACTAATCCCTTCTCATGATTGTCAATAAGGAGTTGAGCATTTATCTGAGACGGCACCAAAGGTGACATTAGACCGCCATTAAAGTCGAAAGATTGAGGAAGGAAATGCCAGCGGCAAAACCAAAAAAAACAATTTTCGGATCGCCTGCTCACAGCATCTAAAATTGCAACAATTCAAATAAGACAATTAACTTTTATATTATAAAAGAAAAACCAAAACTAAACATAGAAGTAAGGATGAAGGAAGCAAACCTCGCATAAACGAATTTATGGAGGAGAACAATGTCTGCGCCGCTATGGGATGCACATCTCTGAATTTCATACACAATTCACTAACAGCTTTATAGGCACGGTCCATAGGCTCGCAGAGCATTGGTACATTACGACAACGGCAAAAAATGCAAACACTCTGAAAAAGTCAACTAATAGCTAAGCTAACTAATATTGAAATGATTACAAAATGGTCATTCTTACCGCCATAAAATTTAAAAGCATATCATCAAGTAAGCACATCTTTAAAAAGATATTTCCAATCTACATTTATTGCTTTATACCAATTCAACGCTTATTTCCCACCCAACTATTTACTATATATTCTGCAATATTTCTTCTAAAACCTTAACTATATACAATTACTTCAGATAGTGTCCGCACAATGAAATCGCTGAAAAACCCCGTTCAAACGGACAAAAATCGAAAAAACCGACGAATTCCCGGGTCGCGACAGCAGTCGCATCGCGGCACCCGACGAGACGGCCAGAGCTGGTACCGCGTTCAATCGCCCGTAACTTCACGGGAAATGCGAATTTCAGCGCCCAAACGCAATATTAAACATTTACACATTATGCAGAGAAGTTATTGTAGTGGACGAGTTACGCTAGTGGACGAGTTACGCTAGTGGACGAGTTACGCTAGTGGACGAGTTACGCTAGTCAACGCGTTAGGGTAGCGGACTAGTTTTCCGCAAAAACGCAGGAAACACGAATTTCAGCGCACCGACGCCACATTTGGCACGCAGCAGTACTAGTGAACGAGTTAGCGCGGACGAGTTTTACCGAGAAAGGTTGGAAAATCGCCGAAACCAAAAGAAAATGCAGCAAAACTTCGGACGCAGTTTTGGCCTGAGTTTTTCGGAGGGAGAGAGAGCCGCATGATGCTCTCAAAGCAGTCAACTAGTATTTCTTTGTGAGTCAAAACTTTGTTTTACTAGCACGAGTGCAACTTTTACGCATAAAATTGCAACGAAATATGTGCCAGGGAAGCTCTTACGAAGCATTCAAATAAACGGTTAGGAATACGACGACCCGTGACGATGAAGACAGTCATATGAGCTCATTTCAAGGTCCGTCTTCTAAGAAATATTCTATACGTTGAAGAAAAAATCCCGCGTTCGCCAATCCACTAATCCCTCGTCATTGAATACTTGAATGACCCGTCCACACTGGTTGTGCGGACCCTGGCATAATCTCCATTTTCTCGGAGTTTTGCAGGTTTAGCCTTTGTGGTTCCCTGAAGTCCTGAAATCAGCCAGGCCAATGTCTGCCCCAAGTCGTCACTAACATAGGCGGTCGCAATCCTTGTGGATCAGAAAAAGATTTGCCGCCATGCGACTTTGATACCAGGATGGTGGTGGATCCTGGTATTGGTTTACTTTTAGCTACGCTTCCTGATGGAAACGTCGGACTCCTTCCCAGCTCGAGAGACCCTGCCAGGAGGATGAATACCCCTGTTCTACACCGTAGTCTGACACCGAGGAACACTTTTCAGCTACGATGAGGCGGTAAACCTCTGGGTACAAACTGAACAAAGGGGAAAAAGATCGTCATAACGACAACCCTTGTGATTTTTTTTAAAGCAAAACACCTATTTTTTTAACCGCATTATGAAATGCGGTAAAAATTGATCCTGTACGGCAACCAATACCATTGATATTACTGTTCAAAAAGAAAAAAAAACAAGATACACCCAAACACTTCTTCAACCCGAATTTGCAGGTCATGGTGAAAGCGTGGTACACTGCAGCAGGATTAATACCGTCATAAGATAAATGACAAACGTAAAAAATACCAGCGTCGGTATCCAACATTAGTCAGTGAAAAATGTCCGATGATCTAACAAGACAATAGTCGATCACATATTCCACAACTAAAGTTGCAAAACCTGAACAATTTTGACTCCGAAACTATTTCACCAACCACATTTAGCTCAAGTCATCGGACTGCTCATTAGCAGACTAACACTTTTCCATGGATCTCGATAATTACCTCGAAATTAAAGACATCTACGAAACCGGTGAAACGATTTCAAAGAATTCTTCGCGTCCGCAATTTTAGAATGCTAAGCTACTGAAAAGGACAAACTTGCAATCTTTTGAAATAAAGTCCACAGCCTAATTATGGTTTACTTTGATCAAATAAGCTGTTCCTGTCATGTCACAACACTCCAAAATATTCCCTCAAAATCCACTACTGTTTCTGACGTAACATGGGTATGCAGTTAGAGATAGTCCATAGTATTAAATAGTTTTTGAAAAAATATAGGAAGCGGAAGAACCTGATACTGAGAGGTGGAAGAAACATTATTCTGCGACAGGCCCATAGCTGAAATGTTATCGCTTGACCTGACCTGAAAAAAGGTTGCTTGAAAAGAGTTGTTAAGACAGTAGTAATAATTTCTCGGTAAACCAATGTTGGAGTCTTCAAGGACACTGCTATTAGGACTGAAACTTTCAAGGAACTGATATAATTGATTCCAAATGTAGCAAAGGAATTGGTGGTCCTCGTTGAACGTGTTTCCGTCGAGGTCATTAACAGCCAATTCTTGAGCCAGCTCCCATTTGTAATCTTACACTTGGACCACACAGCTGATATTTTCTCTTGTATGTTTCGCGACTGCACCTGATTCTGGATGCTGTGTAATAATCGCTGATATGTGGTACAGGCTGACCACCACGTAAAGCGAGTCTCATTGCCATCCACCAAGTAATTCCCACCCTCTTTGTTGAAACACCAATCGAGGAATACTAGGATAACATAATTTTAAGCTGGTAATTGGACAGTTGGGATATTTTCCGACACTTCAGATGAACAGTCGAAAGTCACGAGAAAACAATCTACTTCTATAGTCACGTAATACCGAACCTGTTGTAACCCGGCGTGCAGTAGCTGAGAAAGGCGTTGTCCAGTTCTCGATTGTAGAAAGGGATTTTGTGAAGAATGACTGGTGACAGTAGAACGGGACACAAAATCCTGTTGCGGATGATTAAGCGGAAGTGATGGAGTTGTAGATGTAATCGCAAGGGTACTACTTGAAGATGTACAAGAAGCAGAATCTAAAGAAAACAACACTAGGTAAACTTTATGTTGAACGCAGAACAAAGGAATAAAGGATAAGTGCTCCGCAATGTAATGCGCGTTAATTAATCACTTCGGGAAAGGCCATGCATTTTACTATATTGTCACATATGCAATCAAGAGAATTGAAATTTATGTACGCCATTTCAGCGGTTTATTTTGTTCAACACAGCGCGTTTGCAATAGAATGTATAACGTTGACATCATGGCAGGCTTCGCTTGTGAAAATATTTACCCTAGGCGAAAAAAATACAAAAATCTCCATTTCGATGAGATAATTTTCTGGTTTACTCTTATTGAGTCCTAATGAGGAAGCTATGCACCACAGCGAGTGTAGCCACTGAATAGGTGTAGAATGGTTTCTATTTCAACATCGAATTCCATACTTAGGGAAGACATACTCCTGTAGTAAGGTGCTATATCGTTGAGGAGACTTCTCCAGAGTGGTTCCCTGCTTACAGAGTATCGCCTGTAGCCCTGTTGATCGTCGAGTGACTCGAGCAGGCGCCAGTAAATCTTCCATTTTCCCTGTCGCGCGCAAGAGTAGCACAATAGGTTCTGCTCGCTTTAGAGAGTCGTCGAGACTCGTCTCGATATATAGGACGTAGGTTTCTTCATTGGGAAACTGAGGTGTGCTTGCCTCTGTTCTTAAGTCCTATGAAAGGGAACTCGCATTCTGCGAGCGGGTTCTATTATGCCAGTCGCCCTCCGTCGAGAATAGTCCTCACGGGTTGTTCCTTTGAGCAATTCCGGTTTGCTGCTGATTTTTCTTCTTTAGAAATGAGCTTCCGTAAACGAAGGATAGTGTGGAGAGAAACCCATTGAGATATCTCCGTTTATAGAGTATGAAGAATATGCATATCATTAGAGTAATACGTTATTTCTCCTGTAAACATGTTCGGTATTTGATTTTTCTGATTTTCGAAAATTCGCCAGATTTCGAAATCCTGAGCTATTGTGAGTAGGTAAATTATGACATTGGTCGCCATAGTGTTGTTCATCGACCACTTTTTTATAGAATTCGTTTAGCCAACATTGTTGCGTTCACTTGGATTTGCTGTGGCGTCTGATCTCTATTTTCAACCAAAAGACGAAGCACTACATACGCAAGCGGAAAAGGTGAAGGTTGTTTCCCAACTTGCCCTTCCTCTATGTGGCGTAGTCTTGTAAATCCAGCATATTATCGGAAAGCGTCATGACTTTAAAATATAAGTGATGACGATTTTATGTCCAAATTCATTATATCCCTGCTCTCCGCATATCTTAATGTTATGTAACATAGACGCATTAAGGGTCGGTTCGCCGTACCAACACAATGTAGTCATCGCTCGTTTATTAGGTTTGGAGAAGCATTTACGACTTGTCCAGAAGATCCGTCCAAATGTTTTGCTTTGGTGAGTTTTATCAGTTACTACGAAACAAGGAAAAATAAACAAAATCCCTTACTTTATTTCCAACTGACGGTCTGATTCTCCTATGTCTTATCTAATTGAACTATTTCGCTTCATATGTAATCGTATAAATACATATTTACCTCTTTTGCAAATTTTCTTCGGCAGATACCAATTTTCATAAAATGTGGGGTGGTATACAAGTGTTGGATAGGAATCCAAGAATATGACCAAAAAAAATCACATTGGGAACGTGTAACATCCTTTTTGAGATTTGCTGTTCAAAAAATTGAGAAATCATTCCATGGCGTCTAGCTTTTTGACATTCAGTTTAAGTTTCAAGCTCTTCTTTGCTACTTCCAACACGTGATGTATATATAGATATACTGCTCTTCTCTCTTTAATCTTCTTTTATCGCCTGTCTGCACTGTTTTGCAAATTCGGGCGTTAATTCGCAGTTGCCTGCAGCTCTTGCGATTCCACGCTGGCGTATCAGCTCAAGTGTTTCTGGGGACAAACGTCTCTTGGTGACTTTCGAACTCTCAGCTTTCATAGCGCTAACGTGAAGATGTTGAATGAGCCGATCGTATTCTTTGTTGATGTTATCGACAGAGGCATCTTCCCAACAGCCAACTAATGAATTGAATACGTCCCAGTTTGCGGTGGTTCTAGGACGCTTTTAAAGGCCACCCAAGCCGCTCGTTTTCTTATGATGAACTCCGGAGCTAAGTCGTTCATAGTTTTAATTCTCAGACTTAGATAGATGTAACTGGAGCATTCGGAGATATTCGTTCCACTGAACGTGAATGAGGTATACGAAACCAATCCGTTCCTCACGAAGATCGTTTTTGTGAGATTTAGTCGAAGAACAATCCACAGACTTTATCAAAGTCGGTAAGCATTCGTTCCGCTTGGCTAATGTTTGCTGTTATATGAAAGATGTTATCAGTAAAGAGAAGATGATATAATTGTCGATAATTGACTTCCACTCCCATTTTATCCCACTCCAGCGTTCACATAACGTTCTCGATGGTGGCATAATTTTGGCTGGATGGTGTCGCCTTGTCTAACCCCTCTTTTGACGTCGATGTTAATAAAATGTAGAATTGTGATGTTGGTTGTGAAATTTTTGTACAGCTCACGAAGAATCTTTAAATATTGAACAGAGACTACTTGACTGTCAAGGGCTTCCATGACTGCTCCTATCTCATTTGAGTCACAGACCTTATTTAAATCGGTGGAAATGAGACAAAGCGATCTTTCGTACTAGTATGACTCGAGTTTGTAGAAGTAATGCAGCAAGCGGATTGGGCGGTAGTTGTTGATATCACGGATGCCACCCTTCTTGAACAACAGCGCGGTCCTGGTGGTCTTCCACTAAGTAGGGACATTGCATTCAGACATTGCACAACGTGTGAAGAACCAAGTCATTGTGTTTAAGACGACAGACGGAAAATTCTTCAGGAGTTCATATCTTATCCTATTCGGACCGCGTACTGTTCAATTTTTCATCGATGAAACAACACGTCGGATTTCGAAAGGGAAAACAGGTGATACAATATATCAATTCTCCTTTATTCAATAGGAGGGAAGGAGGACGTGGCTACTGAAGAGATCTGAGTACTAGTTGTGAATCATTTTCTTCATTGTCTTTGGGCGTCGGAGTAAAATTATTTTGGTTTTGTAAGCGGCGAAGCCTTGGTGAGCTTAACGAATGCTCTTCCCAGCCACTGCATCTTCGATCGTAACCGCCGCCCTTCTCTCTTTAAGATCTTCGGCCGCCTCTCTGCATTGTTTCGGAAATTCTGATGTGAGATGGCGGTTCCCTGCTGCTCATGAGACTCCACGACACGTCACTTGGCGACTGTTGAACTCTTAGCTTTCATAGCACAAACGTGAAGGTGTTGAATGAACGGATCGTATTCTTCGCCGATGTTATCGAGAACGATATCTTCCCAACAGCAGACTTGTGAATTGAAACGAATAAGTTCCAGTTATTGGCGGCTTTTTACTTGGTTTTTTGAATTTAATATTAATAAATTAGTGACCTCTTCTCTTTTTCGTAAGAAATTAAATTATGCACGAAGGAGGTGACGATCTGATCTCGTGCAGAATTTTGGGAAACAGTGACATCTTTAAGGCAAAACTTTCGATTTACTATGATGTGGTTTCTTTCGTTATGGTACTCTCCATAGGAAAACTCCCACGTCCGGCGTTGAGGATGGAGCTTCTGGAATTGAGTTTCCATGGATGGTCTTGGTCGCCATGATGAACTCAGACAGCCGCCTATTCTGCTGGTTCCATTCTAATGCACGGCTCCCATTGTCACGTTCTTCAGACATTCTTCTGAGTCCAATTAGTGTCATAATCCCTAATAATGAAATACAAAAATGCATGGTCTTCTCTGTTTAACTTCTAAAAGTCCATATAAAACGCTTCGACATCTTCGTCACAGCTTGATGTTGGTATGTAAACGACAAAGTCTGTCAAAGCTGGTATTGATCCACATTTGTTTAATCGTAAACGTCCGATGTTGTTTGTTGTTCGAATGAACCAATGTTCTTGGAAAAACTCGTGTTGACGAAAACGCCGACGCCGTCGACTCCTCTATTGTCGGATATTCCGAGGAGCAGTTTTTCTCCGTTGTCATAGATGGTACTGAATGGGTGGCGTCATCTCGACTCCGAGAGGCTGATGACGTCCTTCCTTACGATTCCTGCTTGATCAAGTCTTCTATCGAGGACTCGGATACAAGTGTACGTACATTGTAGATCACCTTAGTCCACTGCGATTTCGGCAGTTCAGAATGGCGCTGAGATTTTAGCAGCCTCTCCGCACTCGTCCTAGCTAACGTTGCCGAATTGGGGATCTTTCGGGGTCAGGGGATTAAGGCCCATTTCTTTTACTGTATTTAGCTTTTTGATACCCACGTATAGCTTGCGGAGCTCTGAACGTAGGGGCTGGGTATAGTTACGGGTAGCTTGCCAGCAGGCTCTCCCAGAGTGGACATGGAGCTTCTTTGTTGGAGGCGACTTCTAACCGCCCCCCATATATTTACCTGTCACTAATTGCAAGCTTTTGACCGAATTGACTCGTAGAATTGAACGACAACGCATCCACATATGCATACATGAATACACCTCGTAAACACAGAAAGTATGTGCCAAATCGGCGCAGCAGAAACAGGGAGCCTACGATCAACCCCTTACTCGCCTCCTGGGGACGTTCCAGAGAGCCTCGCGACTAACGGGTCGGAGATCCCTCATATGAAGCAGATCCGTGGCAGTAACATAAGATGACCTATCGGAATCTAAGGTGATCAACGGAAGGGGAAGGGTCGCGCAGTAGTAAGGTGAACTTTGGTAAAACGCAGCACATACTAGCAATATTATACCTCCAGATGTATGAAGCAAAACCAAATTTACCATTGATATTCCCAACCATATGCTACATGGACGGAAAATTTACCATTCGCCGTCGAAAAAATCAGTACTGCTATGATAAATGGCGGACGTGTCTCACTGTTTCTGCAGCCACTTTCAAATCAATAACAGTCGTTTACTTGCTGAGCCTCGTAGAGATCTTTAACCGTGTGCTTTCACTAATCAATTACAAGCAGGGCTTCATTGAGCACAGAGCTTTTGTCTTCCCTTTTGTTTTTCCAGGCCAAAAAATATTACCAATCTGCCGACCCCGGAATAACACTAGCTCGCTTAGCTCGAGAGGCTTGGTTAAAGGTGATTGTAAATAGAAAAAATCACATACCAATACAGAGATCGGCAAAACGTTGACAATTCATTGCACTGGTTTTGAATCGTGAATAAAGCATATCAATCATATTCTCAGAACGCACTTTCTTGACAACCGTTTCGGGCAAAACTGAAGGCATTTCTCCTGGTGCTTCACGATTCGTGGCACACAGATATGAATGCCAGCGATTTTGATTTACCTAAACATGTGCTTTCTTCTCACAAATTTTAAACATAAAAGCAAACAAAAGAAAAACACACCCAAGCACATGTATGTTTATATATACATATATATATATATATATATATATATATATATATGCGCATATGCATATATATAAGAACACATGATAATATGTAGACGATAATAATATTCTTAACCTTTTTATTTACTTCCTAATCTTTTTAGCAGCATGGTATTTTGCGAAATGTTCAATGCCGATTTGGGCTCCCCAGATGAATCCCGCTTACGGGTGATTGCTTATGGCAAAAGATCGATAGAACTAGCTGAATGACAAGCGAAACGAAGGACCCGCATGATGTGGTGGTGAACGCGTTACTCCCCGGAAAGGACAATAACGCGTTCGTTCCCCACCGGAGACACCTGCGGTCTGAAGTTTTGTAAATATCTCAACATTATACCAAATCATAATATTATTAAATAGAAAACTAGCTGAACGGCGAAACGAAAGACACGCATTCAACTACGACAAGAATACTGCCCACAACCCACAGAGCACTTGAACACTCTCTTCTGAAATATAATCAGCACACTCAATATTTAGTCCGAATACGATACCCTGATCGACATCTCTAACATCTTTGGGGTCCAGGAAATTACACATCGATGAGGAAACACAGATCGACCGGTCACACAATGAGAAGAACAGACTACAGATGGAAGAAAACTGTAGAGTGGACTCCACGAGGGCTTTAGGACGGCCCCAAACAGGTTTGGTGGACGTGTTCCTCACCAGAGTTGATAGGGTTTACTCGATGCTGCATTTGCTTCACAGATAACGGTATGAGACTCGCACACGCCACCATGCTCAAACAAAACCACTAATATGGACGATGATTGCGACGGGGGAAAGAAACGAATGACAAATGTGCAATTCAGGGATCCGAAGAACTCGTGAAGAAGAACCATTCGAGCATCCAAGTATATATATATATATACATATATATATGTATATATATGTATAGGTATGGGGCAGATAGCATAGTGGTAGTGTGCCCGTCATCACGAGCATGGTGTTAGTTCGGTTCCGCTTCTCGTCAAGCAAGTTACTCATCCCTTCGAGGTCGGGAAATTGGTAGCAGACTTGTCTGGGAAAAAATCACTCTCTGCTGTCCAAGTGGGAACGCTAAAGCGCCGCTAACTAAGGACTCCAGGTAAAATTGTTAGAACAGCAACAACATTCAAGAAGAAATTAAAATCCTCAAGCACCATCCGAAGCCACAAGTACAAGTTGGGGATCTTCATGCACAGTGGATACGAAAAAACGAATAGAATGTAAGAAATGCTAGTATCAGCATAGTATACGTGAATACGGCTCATATAAAATAAGAAAACAAAAAAATATATATGAATCTCTCTCATATCAGGGATCGCGAGCCGGTCAGTCGAGAGACTACGTGGCGCGTCCCCAGGTGGCGGATAGGGAGTTAATCGCAGACCAAAAGCGACCGTATGTTCCCCTAAGATGCAGAGGGATCCAGGGCACTCCCTGTTCCTGCTGCGCCAATTTGGCACATACTTTCTGTTTTTGCTAGGCGTATTCATGCATGCGTGTGTCAGTGCATTCTTCCTTATGCGGATTGTATTCTACGAGTCAATTCGACCAAAAGGCTGCATTCAAGTGCCAGGAAAATATATGGGAGACAGTTAGGAGTCGCTTCAACAAATAAGCTCTATGTCCACTCTGGGAGAGACTGGCAAGCAACCCGTGAGTATACGAAGCCCTCAGGTTCACAGCCCAGCAAACCACACGTGAAAATCAAAGAAGCTAAACACGGTTAAAAAAAACACGGGCCTCATTCCCCTGACCCCGAAAGAGCCTCCAATTTCGCAGCGTTGGATTGGACGAGTACGGAGAGGCTGCTAAAATCTTAGAGCTATTCTAAGCAGCCCAGATCGGAAAGAACTAAGGTGACGATCTATACCTAGAATGTATGGACACTTTCACCCGATTTCTTGGTTAAAGACTTTATCATGCAAGCACAAAGAATAAGGTACGACGTCATCGGTCCGGCCAAGTGGAGGCGACGCCACCCGTTGAATGCCATATATTACATCAGAGGACTTTTCCTCGAAACATACGACAGTAGAGGAACCGGAGGCGTCGGTGTTCACGCCAACACAAATTTGTTCATGAACATCGATTCATTCGAACAACTAACAACCCGAATCCGACGTTTACGATTAAAAAGACATGCTCAATCCCGGTTTTAACAATCTTCGTCGTTTACGCGCCGACATAACACTATAACGAAGAAGAAGTCGAAGCGTTCTATATGGACTTGGAGAAGTTCTGCAGAGAAGACTACACATTCTTCAGGGTCATCACTGCAGATTTCAACGCCAAGATTGGACCAAGAAGAACGTCTGAAGAACGTCACATTGGGACCAACGGATTAGAATGGAACGAACACGGTGAGCGGCTGACTGACATTATCATGATGACCAAAACAATCCATGGTAACTCGCAATTCCAAAGCCCCACCCTCAGAGCTAAACGTGGACGTCTCCTAATGAAGAATATCATAACGAAATAGACCACATCATAGTAAATAGAAGGTTTTGCCTAACCGATGTCGCTGTTGTCCTAAAATTCTACACAGGATCAGACCATCGTCTCCTTCGTGCTAGATTCTATTTCTCGCGGAAAGGAGAAAAAGCCGCTAAATTCCAAAACCGAAGTCCTAGAACCACAGCAAACTGGGACATATTCAATTCATTAGTTGGCTGTTGGGAAGATGCCTCTGTCGATAACATCAACAAAGAATACGATCGGCTCATTCAACATCTTCACGTTAGCGCTATGAAAGCTGAGAGTTCGAAAGTCACCAAGAGACGTTTGTCCCCAGAAACACTTGAGCTGATACACCAGCGTGGAATCGCAAGAGCTGCAGGCAACTGCGAATTAACGCCCGAATTTGCAAAACAGTGCAGACAGGCGATAAAAGAAGATTAAAGAGAGAAGAGCAGTATATCTATATATACATCACGTGTTGGAAGTAGCAAAGAAGAGCTTGAAACTTAAACTGAATGTCAAAAAGCTAGACGCCATGGAATGATTTCTCAATTTTTTGAACAGCAAATCTCAAAAAGGATGTTACACGTTCCCAATGTGATTTTTTTTGGTCATATTCTTGGATTCCTATCCAACACTTGTATACCACCCCACATTTTATGAAAATTGGTATCTGCCGAAGAAAATTTGCAAAAGAGGTAAATATGTATTTATACGATTACATATGAAGCGAAATAGTTCAATTAGATAAGACATAGGAGAATCAGACCGTCAGTTGGAAATAAAGTAAGGGATTTTGTTTATTTTTCCTTGTTTCGTAGTAACTGATAAAACTCACCAAAGCAAAACATTTGGACGGATCTTCTGGACAAGTCGTAAATGCTTCTCCAAACCTAATAAACGAGCGATGACTACATTGTGTTGGTACGGCGAACCGACCCTTAATGCGTCTATGTTACATAACATTAAGATATGCGGAGAGCAGGGATATAATGAATTTGGACATAAAATCGTCATCACTTATATTTTAAAGTCATGACGCTTTCCGATAATATGCTGGATTTACAAGACTACGCCACATAGAGGAAGGGCAAGTTGGGAAACAACCTTCACCTTTTCCGCTTGCGTATGTAGTGCTTCGTCTTTTGGTTGAAAATAGAGATCAGACGCCACAGCAAATCCAAGTGAACGCAACAATGTTGGCTAAACGAATTCTATAAAAAAGTGGTCGATGAACAACACTATGGCGACCAATGTCATAATTTACCTACTCACAATAGCTCAGGATTTCGAAATCTGGCGAATTTTCGAAAATCAGAAAAATCAAATACCGAACATGTTTACAGGAGAAATAACGTATTACTCTAATGATATGCATATTCTTCATACTCTATAAACGGAGATATCTCAATGGGTTTCTCTCCACACTATCCTTCGTTTACGGAAGCTCATTTCTAAAGAAGAAAAATCAGCAGCAAACCGGAATTGCTCAAAGGAACAACCCGTGAGGACTATTCTCGACGGAGGGCGACTGGCATAATAGAACCCGCTCGCAGAATGCGAGTTCCCTTTCATAGGACTTAAGAACAGAGGCAAGCACACCTCAGCTCCCCAATGAGGAAACCCACATCCTATACCCAGAATCAGCAATGGGTTCTTCATGACGGGAAAGTGAAATTTAACGGTACTTTAATACACCTAGAACTACTCGCGGTTAATAGTACATGTGACTAGAAATGAAGTACAACAGTATATGTGGGAGATTATTGGCGGCTATTTAGGAAAGAACTAATCTAGTAAAATTCCATCGAGACTAAGATACTATTATGTTAGGGGATAATCTCTGATAGATGAGGTACAAGAGGTTCGTTATCACCTTGCACCATGATACGGAGTTGATGACGTAGAAGATAAAACTTCTTGGTACGAATTGACCTTTAAAGAGCAGAGGATAGTGCACTTATGGAGAATCTAGTACAGACCAACGTAACTATAAAGCAAAACTGGTCAAGAAACACGATCTCGCCAGGAAGTTTATTGCATGGCTCAAATCCATACCTATAGAAAAGGTCACAAAGGGCGTCTGAAAATCTACTTCCACCTTGTTTTCGTTTCTAGCTACCAGTGACCTCAACGAGGAGTGAAATAGGACAGCGCTGTACTTAAACTGGACAAAGAAATGAAGGATAAAACTCTCGGCGTTGATCAATCCATGAGGGATGCGCCATGCATTCGACTTCATTAAGCATTGTTGAAGGCCATTGAATGCATCTCTGGCATTTATAATGACTCGGAGTGGCCTACCGATGTCTCTAATTAGTGACACTTCGCATCAGACAGATCTGGTAGGAGGGATGGTATTATTTTCCGTTGTCATTTTTGCTGTTTTTGCCGTTTGCAACCTCGTAACAACTCAACAAGATCAATTAGGTTTATAGAACGTCGGTTTTTTGAATTACTAAGATATCTGGTAGCATTTTACCGATCCCGGAAAGATGGAAGGCTTGGTTCGCTCGGACACGGAATCGAACGCTTGTGTATTTCAGGGAACCTCTAATAACAGCGCTACAGGCGCACATGATTTAGTAGAAAACTAAATTGTGAAACAACGAGGATTCGAAGGTAAACAAACGAAAAAAAAAATGAAAAAAAACAAACGGGTAATTTTCTGCTGCTAAAAATAATTTTTCTATTTTTGTTCAGTCATGCAGCTTCTTAAATATTCTATAACGACCTAGTATGAGTTTATAAAATGAAAAGTGATGTCGATTACGAAAAAATGACTTTATAATACTGATAAGCTCAGAACTTACAACAGAAATATGTGGATTCGACCATTTACCACCTGAACATTCGCGGTACATAATGTGCCCAAAAATACGGTCCATATTAGCCGAACCTACCAAACAGTTCTTACAAAAAGCAATGATAGGCACGCCATGATCTACATGTAGATGATAATAAATAGCAGCTTCCTGAAATTGAACCGTTAGTGTAGACGCAAAAAAGGGCAGACATAAGTACTGGATTACATCATGGTATATTTTGTTCGGAGTGCAATTCAAGCAACGATATGATAATTTTCCGCTCTCGTGTTTCTGCCGATGTTCATGAAGATTGGACTGCGTCAGACAGATACTGCTGCACATTTCACATGGGCTATAATAAACTGTTCCATATAAAACCATATCACCAAGACAGCATATTGCAAAGCTCACAATGCAAGACCCTTCTTCATGTGCTCACATATATGACGACGGGCCCTCTGTGGATCTTCAAATGCCACGGCGCACTGCTGACAAATGTACAAGAGGGAGTCTTCGTCTAGAGGCACACCGTAAACCTAAACATACCACAGTTTAAATAACAAATTACCTATTACATTAACTTATTCAACTAATCCCTTCGATGATTTCCAAAACACCTAGAAACACAATTACAGTAGCACTCACAGCTCGATATTTCAATCTGCAAATCGAACAAGGAAGTAAAACTATATCAGGGAACACGAAAGCTCTACTAAAAACAGTCCGAAAATGATAAATCCGATTCGATCTCATTGGATTGGTGATTTGCAATATAGTGACGATCTGGTAACGGCCCAGCTAACAGCGATTATCTTGGAATTCCAGAAATCACATCAGCCTAACCAGTAAAACATTACTCAAGGAACAGAAAAACGAAAAAAAGATGAAGCTTTCTTAGGGTCCACACAAGTCGACAAAATAGGTTATCCAAGTTCGTAGGCGTTCTACCAAATAACAACCATATTCATACACTAGAATTATGGTAAACTGAAGAATGTAATCGTCTAGTGAGAATTCGTACCACAAAAACGTTAAGCACAGATAACTTCGAAACAAACCTCGCTGCAAAGATCAGATATGATATCGTTTCGGTGCGAATTTTGCTCGTGATAACGACAAGTGGACTTCCTAAGAAATGTTTGGCTACACATCGAGCACTTGTACTTCTTCTCTCGTGTAGCAGCAACTGCGTGAGAGACAACCCCAGTTGGTCTAAAGTATTCAACAACAATAATGGTTGAAATTTTTCAAATTTCTGGAAGAACACATATGAGCTCAAATTAAACGCATTACACGTGAAAGTAAACACTCACAACTCAATAACGTCAAGCATCATGCATTCATCATCTCCTTCATTGACATTATGCACAATGGGAGCCACACAGTTTGACGATGAAGAATGCTGAGACAAGCCCATATCAGAACGCTAATTGTATTTCCATATAATTTGTAAAGTAATTAGTGATTATCAATGATAGCAATACAACTATTTTTTGTCAAAAAACCACAAGAGATAAAATACAAATGTAACGTTATGTACATAAGTATATATATATATTTTTGTCAAAAAAAAATATATATATATATGTACATACGTATATATACATGTCGATGTATATAAAAATAAATATAAATATTAACAAATATGAGAGAAAACCTTGCTCATATCATCAACAATAAGAATTCCATCCTCGCCATCATCCATAACAGAACTTTTGGGAATAACATTTGGTGTTTCCACCCTTTCTTCTCGCACCATACCAGCCTCTAAAATAAATTTTTGAATAACCATTTATGAAGACCTTAACAATTAACTTCCATTAAATCTCGATGAAAATAACCAGTAATTTCCCACACTATTCAGCTGACACGAGATTGATGTAAACAGTTCTTGTACCAACCCCGTGTCAGCCCAATCATGTTGCAAATTATTTCTGAAGATATTTGTAAATTTACCATTTTCTATAACAATGACGGATGGCGGAGGAACCAGATCGTCGATTAAATTTGCAAGTACCTGTCGCTGCCTCTCCAGCAACGAAGGGGAAGTTCCATCTCGTAAATCATTGGTTTCCATTCGATCGAACTCATCACTAAGAAAATAATCACATCCAGTGGCAAAGCATGTGACGAGGTTAACAGGATTCAAAAACATACCTATGCAATGTGGGAATTTCCATAACGTCATCGTCTCCAGAGGAATTTTCTAAAAGTGTTGGAAGTACTGCACCAGAATTCGACGGATTCGTGAAATCGCTTTCTTGATCTAAAGAGTGATATCACAAATACCAACTGCATAAATCATAAAAAGCATAAAGCTCTCGGCGTTCACCAATCCCTGGGAGATGCACTATGCATCCAGAATTTACACGAACCATGGTGGCCTGGCGATGCATCGAGTCAGTGCCCAGATAAGTCAGGTAACAATTGGTCAAGCCTGGAGGGATGGAAGGTTTGATGAGCCTAGGGTGCGGGGATCGATGCCATGTGTATTGCAGGGCGACTCTGACCTGTTACACGCGCCTCTGCGAAAATGATAGTTTCCAATTATTAAATGGTTCGCTCGTACCACTTTTAGCATTGTCATTCGCGGAATAATTTAAGCATACACTAGTAGATTCCATCCCATGCATAGCACATGAGCCGCCCAGAGGACTTTGCTTTCTCAGTGCACACGAACAGGATCACATTTTTCACAAATTAATTTTTTAAAAATGGTCTTTGTGACGATGCGGCCATGAATGGCCCGCTAGTCTCTGTCGTGGCTTAGATTTCCTCTCTAATGTACCTTCGAATGGGAACAGTCCTTTGCATAGCTTCGCTTAGTATTCATTAGGAAGTACTAACCGTTTTCTAATTGGCGACAATCTGATCCCTCCTTTTTCTTTCCCTTGGAAGCACAAGGAGTTAAATATTCTTGCAATGTCTGAAAATTACAGATGACTTTCCGAATAATATTGTGTTGGGTAGGTGTTGTCAATCAATTGTAGTGAACAGTCATGAAACAATGGAAAAAATAAACAAATGAATAAATGAATAGACAAATAAATAAATAAACTGACGTCCTTGAACAGTTCTATCTGAGAGCATCTCAAAAGAGTAGGTTTAGGTGCAACAACTTCAGTAGACTCCTTCACGTGAATCAACAATACATGCTCCCGTAAAGTCTCAAGTGGTTCGGTTTTACAGGATAAGCAGCACAGATTTGATGTATGACTTTGCTGCAAGCAATGAGAGACATCAACATGAAACTTTCAAGAATTTTCAAAAGATAAGAAAAGTGTAATCTAAAAACTGCCCAGACTTACCATGTAGTGGTCAACACCAGCGGTCAACGCTTTAGAACGGCCATTACCTTGACCACTAAATTTCGCACTACAGGTATCACAAGTGACAACGTTAACAGATTTGTTACGACATAAATGTTCAGAAAATGCATTAAATGTAGCAAATCCACGGCGACACTCGCAAAGAAATCTAAAATATGAATAAAAAATGGTCGTACAACCAGCATTAAATAATTGCTATTACAAATTTGTCCAGTATTTTCTACGTGACAAAAACATCCACGTGTCGATAACATCGTGACATACTGTAAAAAGTGAACCCCTTACGACAATCGACGACTTCCGGAGAAAAGTTTGGAACAAGATGAAGGTATTGAATGCATCCTAGATTCGAAACTGTCACAAACGAAGACTGCTGTGGATACCCATATCCATATTAATCTACCACAAGTTTGTGAAATGTAGCGAAACGATAGTAGTTAATAGAAAGGAAATGCTGTCCCGCCATTTTAGGAGTCGACATACAACTAGTCCTGGCATTGAAAAAAACCACCACATGTTGACGATGAGTCACACACACGTCGCAAAAAATACTTACTATGGACATTTGACTCAAAATACTTCGGTTTTGAAGGAAATGGTGCGGATATGTTAGCCACAGTAAAAGTTACTGGAACAACCTCGTGTGGGTTACTCGGCATAATAAAATACTTTCAAGAAATAATTGAATATTTGGACACTAGTACGGTCCGTCTTCAAGGAATGTTCGGCTCGCAGCACATTCTCCGTTCGTTCTCTTCCCCCGCAATCGCCGCCCATATTGGTAGTTTTGTTCAAGCATGGTGGTGCGTGCCAGTCTCATTCCATGACCTGTAAAATAACTGCAGCCGCGAGTACGGCCAACTAAAATGAACACGTCTGTCAATGCATAGGTGGCCGTCCTTGGGGAGACCTGCATTCTCGTGGACTCCACTCTACAGATCCTTTTGTTCATTTGTCGTCTGTTCTCTTTATTGCGTGACCGGCCCATCTGTATTTCGCTATTGATGTATGTTCTTCTGGATCTTGAAGATGCGACAGATTTCGAAGATCGGAGCGCAGCATTCCGGCTAGATCTTGAGAGTGCTGGTTATATAACAAAAGTCGTCGTTCAAGCACTCTGTGACTAGTGCGTTGTCTTCATGTGGTTGAAATATGAGCTCACGTCTCATCATCCAGCTACTTCAGCTGGTCGGTGGATTCTTTAAGAGGCCCGAATGCGGCCCAAACTGCTCTCCTTCTTCTGTATAATACCTCCTTCATGTTGCTTTCCACGTTCATTAATCGCCTAGGGTATACGTACGAGGTGTTCTCTGCAATCAGAAAGTCATCCAGTTCAATTTGTTCGCATTCGCACGTGTTTATTATGAACTGAGTCTTCTATCGATTTATGCGTAGTCCGATCTTTTTCGCTCTTCGTTGAGCTCGATGACCATTACCCCTGCTTCACTGGTACTAAGATGACGATATTGTCGACGAAACGAAGGTTTGATTGAAGTTTTCCATCAATACGTATGCCTTTCTCAACTCAATCGAGTGACTTCATTATTCACTGCAGTGTGGCACTGAACAGCTTTGGCAATATTGCGTCGCGCTTTCGAACTCCGTTTCCCAAGATTATGGTAAAAGGTCTACAAAACAGCTGCATTTTCGTAGTAGAGTTCTGATAATAGTCAGACGAAGTTCTTATGTAGGTAGGGTCCGCTCATTGATCGACGAGAGCCGAAACGATTGCATTTCTTTCAACAGAGTTAAACGCTTTATCATGGTCGACAAAGGTTAGGATTAGAGGCAAGTGGTATTCCCGACAAATTTTTAATACCTCTGGACACAATTTGAACTTGGTCCATGCAGCAAAATCCTTGTCGAAAACCCGCTTGCCCCACTGGCTACGCCTCATCCAATGTCCTTGATTTCCGCGAGAGGATAATCTTCGTGAAGATAATCTTGTACAAAGTATAAGCTCAACGAGCGCATCGGACGATAGTTACGATGACACCACTGGTCACTTTTTTTTGATAGGATGATGCGCGACGTCCTTCACTGGTTTGGATTTTCCCCTTATAAAGCAAGCGGACATATGGTTTGCCAGAAATACATGTAAACTGTGGTTCTCAAGTCGGTAGTGATATCACCAGGTCCTAGAGATGTGACACTTTTCATGGTTTCTATCGCAACTCGAAACTCCGACGGAAGAATTCCGGGTAGTTTCCTTCCAGCGGGAATTTTAGGGCCCGATATGAGGACTGTGGAACAGAGAAGGTGGGTGTAGAACGTCTCCGCTACTAATTCCATTTCATGGCTGGAAGTTTCGATGGTCCCATCTTCGTACATCAGAATTGACAGCGGAACATTATAATCACACATGTCTCGACGATATTTTTCCACACTGCTTCTTTTCTCTGATGTTTCCAGTAATTTCTTCTACCTGTACAAATGTGGACCTCCATGCAAAGTTCTTCTTCCGCTGGCATTTATTACTACCAGTGTTAAAGGTATTTCAGAGGATTAAGCTTTAGTTTCCTTCTCTTTTCGAGCAACTCCTTAGTGGTATTGGAGATGTAATACAACCTTCTTGCTTGAGGAACTGAGGCGAATTCTGCATACCTTTCAGTCCTTTGGCAAGCAGCTCGTAGTTTTTGGTTGTGTCTTCTTCAATTTGCCACTCACGTTTGGACAGGACTTCGTTCAGAATGTTATCGTCGTATACATCTAGACTTTTTCCTCGTAGCCGATTAAGAGAGTTCTTTCCCAGCTTGCTGCTGAATCGAATCTTCGCGCGAAGAAGGCGGTGATCGAAACCAGTACAGAATAACGGGACTACCGATGTGTCAAGTAGGTACCATCTTCTGTTTGTCAGGATATGATCGATCACCGCATGAGTCATGCCGTTAGGAGACTCCCATATTCGCGGCTTTTTTTTCATCTGCAAAACGGGTTTCTTTCTTCTGCAAAAACGAGTTTCTGTGGGAAATAAATGCTCCAGACAGGAGTCTTGCGAAATTCTCCATTCTCATCTCTTTCTCCTAATCCATGATTTGCGATCCTGTATTGGTCCTCGTTGGCTTTTCCTATTCTAGCGCTGCAGTCCCCGACAGCAAATTTATCACAGGCTTTATCGCTGTGGATAACAATTGCATCGGTCGATGAGCAGCAATTGATGATTATGATCTTCTCATGACGCGTCAGTTAAAGACGGAAGACGGTCATATGAGGGGAAAAGATCTTGTACGAGTCGACGAGATGGACAGTGGATAGAGGGACGACAAAGCCTATGTCAACGAATTTCATGAAGGGACCTTCTCTTCGCGGATGACAGAGATCCCGTTGTTTCGTTGGCGTATGTCAGTCTTCCTGACTTTTGCTTCTTCTAATACGATCATATGAAATTTTATGTGATTTGTGAGTTCAAAAAGGGCGTGAAAATCGGCGTCTGTGGAGCGTGTTCTGGCACTATACGTGCAGAGTAAGGAAAAATCTCTACGGTGTGTCGTGTGTGTTCGTCAGATCCGGTTTCAGTGAAGTCCTGCGTAACCCGAGGTTTTGTGACCTCTCACCGGTTACTGCACACCTTACGTCATAGATGGAAGCACTCAATGTGCGGGATGTAGAGGCTGGCCTATTGATGGTTGGGTAGTTTGATCTGCCAATGAGCCCTGATTTAACCTTGCAAAGACCTATACAGGTCTTCACCACGATGTGGATTCGACGGAAGTATATTTTAGGTAACGAATCCTCCGCTTGGTCTTCCCACTAGATAATTCGGAGACAACGGTAAAACCGAAATCAGAAACGAAAGTAGGAATGGAAAAAAATAACCGACCCCTCAAAGACGATACAGAAGCCGAACTCACTTTCAAGAAATAGAATCGAAAATTGCTACATATCATTCAAAATCTAGACAACAGAAAAGGCACAACGCTCGACTACACATTGCACAACTAACGCTGTAGTAAGTCAGTGTTTTCATCTCTAGCAGACGTGAAGTTTTTAATAACAAGATTTACTCACAATGGCCGAAGGGTTTGGCTTGGTTTATGGTTTGTGCTAAGAAAGACTTTGGTATACCCATTTTGGTGAGCAGTTTATCAAACAAAACTTTGTTATATATATATACCTACTTGATACTTGAACGCCCCGTCCTCACTGGTTGTGAGGGACCCAACGCAATCTCCATTTTTCGGAGATTTGCTGGCTAAGCCATTGTGGTCCTCTGGAGTCCTGACGCAGTCGCCGCCCTTGTGGAACAAAGAGATTTGCCACTATGCGACTTTGATACCAGGACAGCGGTGCATCCTGGTATTGATTTACTCTTAGCTAGGTTTCCTGATGAAAACGGCGGACTACTTCACAGCTTCGGGAGACCCTGCAAGGCGGATGAATCCCCCGCTGTACATCGCAGCTCGACACCCAAGAACACCTCCTAACCACTATGAGGCGGTAAACCGTTGGGCGGATATATACATATTTGGTGTAATGACTGCAATTCACTCAATTCAAGTTCTTTTCAAGAATTGGAGAAAAAAAGCAAACAGTTCAGAAAAGAAGTGATTTTTTAATGGTACTCATCGATTTTGCTGAGATAAGATTTGTCCGATTTGCATACGCTGCAGAAGAGTGATGAGTCTATGATAAGGTGTGATATGGTTATGTGGTTATAAGTCAAACTTGAGACGGTGTGTTCACTGGTTTTGTTTTAATGTATTGCAGTTCACGAGCCATTTCTAGCAATCCGCAAGGTGCAAATGCACAAAAAACAAAATCCAAGCAACGAATTTGAAACACCATACTAAAGGCACCAATAAACTTTACTTTGATTTGATCAAATAGTAAACCACCGACCTATGCATTACTCCGCTATGAGATTTCCAATGGCCAGTACGTTCACTTCTTCGAAACAACTTAGCACCGCAAAGTATACAAGGTGCCATGTAGCATTCAGAAAGCAAATGTGCCACAATTCGATCTCGTCTAATACGGAAGGCACAGAAATTGCACTTTGCATAGATATATTTATGCTGAAAAAATTTCCAGATCAAAACAAAAACCTCAAGAATATCGATGACCGCTGTACATTTAGCTTCAACATAACGATGAAGACTAACTTCAGCGTTAATCATGTATAACAACACTGTATCCAATTTTCCTATACCGTAAACATTAAGGCGAGAAACGGCGAAACCGCTGAAAAACTCATGCACTTGAACTTTTATATTAAAAATTTCTTAGCATCTTCGTGGAAGAGGACGTTCTCTTCCTTGCTATCGGAACAAATAGAAAGGAAACACCATGGACTAACCTAGCATTTGCGCGACGACGACTACGTTTGCATCACTGACGCAAGTAACGATGCCTAATTCTGTGGCTCTACGGGTCTCCTGGTTTTCTGATTATCACCTGTCACATATCACCTGTCTGACTCTAGCGGGCGCCAGTAAATCTTCCATTTTTCCTTGTCGTGTGCAAGAGTAGCCCAGTGGATTCTCCTTGCTTTAAGGACTAATTAGGCATTACATCTTTCTTCTCGAGTTTTCGTGAACAAAGCTGACCATCGGGTCGGTGGTCTTCCTGCAGTACTTCTGACATTATAAGGAATCACTAACGGCTCTTGTCCATCAGTTGTCATTCATACGCATTACGTGTCCGGCTCATCTTACCTTCGATTCAACAACATGACAAGTAGAACAGGGTCTTTGATTTTTGATCCTTGACGAAGATTCTTCCATGTCTTCCATCATTTGCATGATAGAGGATACTCCTATCGTTTAATAACGTTCTTTCGACTTCATGATCTATAATGCAGAGTGATCTTTCATCCTCCCTGGGTAACGACCAAGTTTCTGAAGCATGCACTAAGATAAGTATAATCGTCGAATCGAAACGGTGATATGAGCAAGGAGTTAGCTGTTCTTTGTTCCTCTCACTATATCCGCGATGTTGTTGAAGGTTTCCCAAGCCTCTCGCTTCATCCTGCTCCATTCTACAGCTAAGTCAGTGATCATGATTTCCCCGTCGAGGTAAACGTAACTGGAGCATTCAAGATATTCGTTCCATTCAGCATGAATATCGCACAAAAAAACTTATGAAACCAATCCGCTCTTCATAAACATCGTTTTTATGAGATTTACTCGAAGACCAATCTTGCCACGGGCGTTATAGAAGTCGAGCGTTCACTCTGCCTGGCTAATGCTTGGTGTTACAAGAACGATGTCACCAGCAAAGCGAAAATGGTATAACTGCTGACACTCAACTTTCACTTCCATTTTACCCCATTCCAATTTTGGCACGACTTTCTCGAGGGTAGCGGTATTTAATTTCAACAAGATAGTGTCGCCTTAGCTAATCCCTCTTCTGACGTCGATATTAATATCGTTGCAGAATAGTGATATTTTGGGAGTGAAATTTTTATACAGCTCACGAAAAACCTCCATTACTTAGTTGGAATGCTATGGCTCTCCAGAGCTTTCACGACAACTTCTATCTCAGCTCAGTCCTTCGATGACTCTTGTTATAATGAGGATGCGGTCTATTCTAGTGTCCTCGCTTGCTCACATCGCCGTCTTCCGTCCAGTGTTCTGTCAATCCTGTTTTGGATAACTCGACCGAAGTTCTTGCACACGACAGAGAGAAAGCAGACTGGCTGACAGCTGACGATACCATGAATCGTGGAAACCACACTTCTTGAATAATGATAGATTTCTGCTGGTCTTCCACTGAATGATAACCTTGCGTCCCCACAGGTAACATTTGAACAGCTGAGCCTATCTGTTTCTGAGAACTGGTGAAACGCCCTTCGGATGGTCAAGTTTTATCCTGTCAGGAAGTAGTGTTGTTCAATTCTTCACTGACGAAGTAGTATGCCGGATATCGGAGTGGAAAACTAGTGGGACGACATATTTATTCCCCTTTATCGCGTCTCTGTATTGTTTTGCAAATTCGGATGTGAGTTGGTAGCTGCCTTTCGAACTCGCAGTTTTCATAGTGCTACCTCGAATTGCTTAATGAGCATACCGCATTCCTCGCCGATGCTACTGAATATGGCATCTTCCCAACATCCTTGTGAATTGAATAAATTCTAGTTTATAGCGGTTTTGGGACTTGGTTTTTTGAATTTAGCGGCTTTTTGACCTTGTGTAGAATTTTGGCGCAATAGCGACATCTGTAAAGCAAAACCTTCGATTTACTATTACGTGGTTTCTTTCGTTATGGCACTTTCCATTCAAAGACTTTCACGTCCAATGTTGACAGTGGAATTGCCAATTACTATGAATGCACTACATGATAAACTCGGACACCCACCGCCCCTACCCGTTTTATTCTAAGCGGTAGACCACAATGTGTCGTTCTTCTGGGTCCAATCTTAGTATTTAAGTCTTCAATGACCTTAAAGAATGCATGGTGCTCTCTGCAGAATTTCTCCAAATTTACATAAGATGCTTCAACTTCGGCTCTGCCATAACTTGATGTCGATGGATGAACGACGAAGATCAACTGTCAAAGTCGTTATTGACCCACATCTCTTCACTTGTAGATGTCCGGTTAGAATTGTTAGTTGTTCGAATGAATCAAAGCTAATGACCAAACCAATTTTGACCAGAACGTCGACGCCTCCGACTCCTCTACTGCCGCTTGTTCCGAGGAACAGTTCCTCTGCGGCAAGAAATGCAGCATTAAATGGGTAGCGTCTTCTCGTCTCAGCCAGTTTGATGACGTCGTACCTTATCCTCCTTGTCTGCAGGATTAAGCTTAACATCGAGGACTCAGATGCAATTGTGTGTGCATTGAAGGTACAGATCGTTGCCTTAGTTCCTTGCGATTTCGGCAGTTCAGAACAGCACTGAGATTTTATCGGCGTTTCTGCGCAAGACGTAATCAACTCTATTATGTCGGTTGCTTTTTCTCGGTCAAAGGTATAAGGACCACTTATTTTACTCCTTAGCGTCTAGTGCGTACTTCTAGCTTTTTGAGATGTGGGAACGGGTGGTAGGGGGCAGCTTACCGCTCTCTCCTAGAGTTGAGAAGATAGCCTATTTGTTGGAGGCGACTCTTAATCGTCTCCATATACTTCGTTCTTACTTGATTGTGGGCTTCTGGCCGAATTGACTCGTCGAATACAGTCCGCATAAATGTGAACACACACACCAACATATATATATATATATATATATATACATATATATATATATACACACGCTGAATACGTCGTGAACGTAAAAGGTATGTGCTAACTACAGCAGTAGAAATAGGGAGTCCATTCCTTGGATCCACCTGTGTCTTAGTGAAAGACTATACGATTAACGTTCTCTCTACGACGAGAGATCCACCTTCTACAGTAGACGGTAATACTTCAACAACCACAAGATTTGGCGAGTGGTTACAACATAGAACTATACAAAAGTCTTTGCTCTATCTTCATGTGAGTATAAGTTGTATACATATGTATATATATATATTGTATATATACATATATAACATATACATATGCATTTATGAATGTTACTATGGTCCATCATAAAATATTTCCGTCAGCATTTCGAAGTATTTTGAACCTATTTCGTCTATTTCGATATCTTTATCCAAGCATATTCGATCTGATAACTAAAATTTGTTATAGAAAGGTAAAGAAAGCTCTCGACGTTGATCAATCTCTGAGGGATGCTCCATGCATTCGACTTCATTAAGCATCGTTAGAGGTGACTGAGTGCATATCTGGCCAGTACTATGACTCGCGGTGGCCTATCGATATATCGAGTCAGTGCTGCTATCGTCCCATACAGATTTGGTACCAGTTTGTAGACCGCAAAGGGATAAAGTCCGGCATAACGGCTGTGTTGAACGATCAATCGATTGTTTACAAGGAGTTTAGGAAAACAACTCTGTGTTCCAAAAAAGACCACCATAAACAAAATGACCTCTATAGAGACCACATCGGCCATTGCGCTCTCTAAAAATGACTCCTAAAGAGGTTACAGCGTCGTGTAAGTGTTAAAGTAAAAAATTCATCCCAAATTCTATTTCTTGTAGACAATAACGTGTTCCTAACTATTTCTCGAGTTAAATCTGTAAAATATGTGGTAGGAGGAATAAGAATTTGGCATAAAAAGTAAAACGCAAAAGTTTCTGCGGTAAAAACACACGGAGAAAATGCATAGATATTAGTCAACGACGTATACGCATTAAGGTTGGCGCACAACACCATTCACTTCATGTGAGGAGATATGATGTAGCACTACAGTATAGGAAATCGCAAAACCATCTCTTGACGAAACAAACCTGTTTGTATGAGTCCAATCTCAAAGTATGCGCTGCATGAATATGTTCTAAAAACGCCTCAGGTGTTTGCAGGAGGAGCAATGGTGGATCACAAAGGTAACATGTGATTGGGATTTCTCTATAAAAAATAAAACTTTTAAAGAAAGAAGTACGCGCTAGGGTGTGAAAGACCTTACATATGAAGTTTCCAGTGCTCTTTCAAAGCCGTATAAGAACGCAACGTAAGGCAGCAAAATTCACATACTCGTGATTGCTATAATAAGTAGTTGAACAGCTATAAAAAAACTATCTAATTGAACAACACTGATGAAAAATTGCTTTAAAACAAGATCTAAATACTACGAAATATTGCTTGTATGTACAAATGGGAATTGCATAACCTCGGAACTACTAGTGCATGGATGAGGTTCGTTTACCGCTACTTCGTCATGGTGGAAAGGATCCGAGTCTGAAAATAAAAGAAGTAAACTCATTTCACAAGTTAAGAGAGTAAAATAAAAAAATCTTAAAAATTCTACAAGTCACCAATCATTGGTGACGCTAACTAAGCAGGATTTTTCCCTGTTCAAGAGGTGTACAAGTTACTCATTGAACTTCCAATCAAACCACCTTCAGTATTTGAAGAAGCCAAGCAGCATTGTTTATTTCTCCTCGGAAATTGCTCTCATCACACACAGAGCTTCATTCAAAGTACTCATAGAATTTTTCTTTTTTGTTAAAAACCACTCCGTTGACACTACAAATTACTTGAAACTTATCTATAATTTCTCCAAAATGGGCAATAAACAATCCAAATCTACTGAAAACGAAAAAAAGATTGACCAGCACAGAAACAAATTTCGGATGATTTTTCTGTCAGACTTCCAGAGAAATAGCCATGTTGCGTGACACGATCTAATTTGCAGTCAGAAGATTAAAGAGATGTAGCACTTAAGTACTTGCTCAGAGACTTTGGCAAACTCACAAGACGGAGTTCTGATCATCTGCGCCACCGAATTGGATTGCGTCTCAGGTATGTTATACTCTCCCGATTATAGGAAAGTACTCATTCATTGCTTTCACGCGAACGAATCATCCAGGGGGTTCTCCACGTTGGTGGAACACTCAACTTACACATCTTTTTCACATGACTTTTCTGAAGAAATTTTACAATAAAACTACTAGTCTTCTTGTTGCGAGTTCCACATTCCACCGAACGCTGTTGATGACGGCCCCTATTCAGCAACAACACTTGATGCTCACTCCAGCGGCTATATTTAAAAGTAATGCTTAGCAAAATCAACAAGTTTGCAATACCACAATTTATGTAGCAACAACATTATTTCTTGAATAGCCACGTGAGTAAGAATCAGCATTTCCTTGAAATTTACTACCATAAGGTATTTATGGAAAAACCTCCGTTCGATAATGTGATGAGAAACGCTGACTTCACTTTCATCCTTCCATGATGTTGAGGTTTCCAAGAGATACTCCAGAAACTACATATAGATGCAGCATATTTGTTCCGAAGAGTGTTCAAGGGGCTAAAACGATAACCTTGCAACAAATCCAACCACCACAAACACCGTTTTGGTTAAACTGAGCCGAAAATCGATCGTGCCACAGGAGTAGTCGAAGTGGTTTGCAGTTGTTCTATCCACATGAACGACACCATTAGCAAATCATTGCAGGTAATAGACAAGAAGACTGACGAGATTCAAACAGCTTTCGCATAGTCTCCGGATAACGGGTCGAGATGAAGCTCTTTTGAAGTCGTTGCATGTTATAAAAGGTGACCTCTTTGAATTATCGTGATAATTCAATGAATTTAGAAAACGCGTTCCAAAAATAACCGATGTGTGCCTGAATTAAAGGACCGTGATAACCGAGTGGCATGCATTCTTATCATAGTTAATTGAGTTTCGTTATCACGCAGTTGCCGTCTTTCGCGATGCGACTTTTTCGAAAACCAGCTTGTTCGTGGGGAGTCTTCCGTGTCCAAGTCTGATTTTACCGTTTTTTACGTTTTCATCACTTGGATTTCGGTACCATTTGATGAAGTAGTCTTTTCGGACACGTTAATTCGAGCTTCCAAGAATGGAAGAAAGCTTCGTTTGGATTTCTCTCGAAGACTTTGTGCCCGCTAGTTCGTAACTGTTTGTACGAGTGTTTATGCACAACACAAGACTGCATAATTTGTACTAAATGTAGAGATAATGACTGAGTTCGGGTACGGTGTATCCAATCTATTGTAAAGTGTGTGGGAGCGGACATATTGACGAAACGAGAAGACCATTCTGCCTCCGTATAAAGGAACACCTGGTCGGTAAACTTAAAACTGAAGCAAATACTTGACCAGGTGTGCAGAATGCGCAGAGACATGAGGGGAAAGATTTTGATCATGTTCGCATAACAACGTGAAAGAGATTCGGCTTGATTATCACGTGAGATCTCACATAATATCTGAGAGTGACATTCTAACGTAAGAGAGGTTTTTTATCATCCATGTGAGCGATATATGGTTGCTCTTCACTTGGAATATACACTGGTAACCTACGGAAGTGAGAAGACTCACAGAAGCGGTAAGCGTATGAAGAAGCTGTTCTATTTCAATGCGATTAAAAATTAGGTGTCGTGGATATTTCGTTTGAGTTTATAGAGGTGTTTAGCTTACTAGGTTGCAGTTCATTTGACTTTTCAGGCCTTAAATACAACGAACTCCACCGAAACATTAGCTGTTGTGAATAAATAATAAATACTAACAGCCTCATGTGCGCTTATAAAGTGAGTAGGTAAGTATTCACTGACGCCAAAGTAAACAGAAAGTCGGATTTGGGAATTACTCTAAGAACGAGATTTCGTAGTTAAGGAGTGAAATAAAATGTCAGCAAGTATATAAGAAACTATCTGAATTTGTAACCTACTTATAGGTCTTGATTCCTCTTCAAGAAACAATGCATCGAAAAGACTTGATGACGACGAATTTGCTAAAAACGAAAATGGAAAAAATGATATAGTGAAACAACCAACCAATACAAAGTCTAACCCTGATGATATTTTTTATGTGTTGAGTGGACAAATCCGTCAATCTCATCAATATCAACTTCCTTGTACGAAAAACCCTGCGGCGTCATACGAGAACTAGTGATGTCATCTTGTGCACATGGGGCGTTAACATCATGTACTGTGGTAGCTTCAGTAGGGGAGGTCTGGTCCACATGGTCAATTATTTGAACGGAAGGTGGTTCCGGGCAATCTAATATTTGTTCTAAAGGGGAAGAATCAGCATGTAAGATGATAACTGGAGGAGTTTCCACTTCAGCCTCGATGTTTTTACTTTTTGACGATGCAATTGAAGAAGCTGTTGAAGATGTCTGAGAGGATGTCGAAGGAGGAGCCCCCTGAAAATGACGATATTAATGTGATGAGTGATACAACATTACAAAGGAATACAAATTATCGTTCATAGGCTAACGAAGAAAACTGTGATTAACTTTGAGCCCGATTAGTGTGTGGTAATCTGACAATGCAAGAACCTGATCTGATTTCAGCTTTGCAACGAGTGCATCCTTCTTCTTCTCCTCAAGGTTAACAGGAAGACAACCATCAGGCGTGAGACCGATAGAAGCATTTATAGCACGAGTAGTAGAATTGGTAAACTTTGGTATATATTTTAAGATCTCTAAAATTTCGGCATATCTAAATTATATAACAGCAAAGCACTTCCCACTTTACCTGCATTGTTCGACGTCTCCTCCGTTTTCAAGAAAATACCATGATAAATAGCCATGTGCACGCGCAATCCAAAAATAGAACAAACTGTTGATGAACACTCCCAACACTTTATTCTACTATTTGGAATTCCATTCCCAGCGAACACACACAGCACCTAAGCAAATCGAAGGATACAGAGTATAAAACTATATATATATATATATATATATATATATATATATATATATACAGATCTCACTGATAGAGGGAAGCCATGCTGGTTAGTCGCGAGGCAACGTGGCACGAACTCCAGTGGTGAATAAGGGGTTCATGGCGAATCAAAAGCATCCAACCGCATGCTTCCCTGAGACGCAGCTATATCCATAGAATTTTTCGTTTCCGCTACACAGAATACAGAAAACACACCCTAATAAATCGAAAGAGTGGCCTAACTAATATCGCTCTGCCCAAGAATTCCATACGTCAGACCGTCGTCTCCTCTGTTATAGGTACTATACCTCGCCGAAAGGAGAAAAAGCCGCTATATTCGAAAAAAAACCAAGTTCTAAAAGCACCACAAGCTAGGACTTATTCAGTTCAATAGTCAACGGTTGGGAAGTTGCTTTCTCGATAACATCGACGAGGAATACGATCGGCTTATTCAGCATCATCACGGTAGCGTTATGAAGAGTGAGAGTTCGAAAGTCACCAACAGACGTCCGTCTCCATGCACAGTCGAGCTAATACGCCAAAATGCAATCCCAAAAGCCATAGTCAACCGCTAATTCGCCCTCATAAACACACTAACTCTGCTGTTGGCATATTACGTGCCAGAATGCAAGATTCCTATTCAACAGAAAACTAGCATGAGCGTGTTACTGTTCACGAATAATACCATTACGATTCGGGAACTATCGCCCAATCAGCTTGCTGTTTGCCGCCTACAAACTTTTCACTCAAGTCATCCTAAACAGAATTGACAGAATATTGGACAAAGGACAGTGATGTGAGCAAGCGAGGTTTGATTCAATGATGATACTGAAAGTGATTCAGTACGATGAATCACATCCACAAGAAAGCAAAACCTATCGAAGTATCACGAGAGTACAGAATACCGCTCTATTTCACTTTCATCGATTTGAAGAAAATTTTTGACTCAGTTTGGATAGAAACAGTCATCTGGAGAGCCATGGCGTCCATACTTAGTAATAAAATAAAGTAATAAAAAAAGTAATAAAGGTTCCTTGCGAGCTATATAAAAATTCGACAAGCAAAATATCACCGATTTTCTATCAGCCTCAGCACTGATTGAATAATTCTTTCTACTTCTGCTTAGCAAACACGAGGTGCTATTTCACTTTATTTACGCACAAGCTGACGTTTCGGCGAAATTCGCCTAACTCAGAGCCTGGAATGGTGAAATTGACTGCAATCTACACGGCCAAACACCTCCATAACCAAACAGAGAAAATGCTGAACCAAAATTTCAGTCACACTGAACACACAGTCTTTGCACACTCACCGCTTTCTATGAATTTTCCACTAAATGTGTCACGTGGAGACCAACCGCACAGAGTTCTCATGAAATCGTGCTGAGTCCATCTACTCAGAATAACAGGTTTATGTAGTGCCCGATGAGGTATTACTCCCTGCGGTTCATTTCTCGGATTCTTGGAATTAATTCAGAATGCCTCGAGAGTTTCAAGCTTTTTAGTTTTGCTTTTAGTTTTTAAGAGTACTCTTAGTTTCTTTTAGTCTTTTGTTTTATAGTTTTTCTAGTTTTTAGTTTTTTAGTTTTAGTTTCTTTTCTAGTTTTTTAGAGTATATTCGAGGCATTCTGAATTAATACCAGGAGCCCGGAAATGAACAGGTAGGAAGGCCTCATTATCACGCGTGATAATGGACAGTATATAAGCCTGTTATTCTGATGAGATGGACACATTACGATTTCATGTGAACTCTGTGCGGTTGGTCTCCACGTGACACATATAGTGGAAGACTCATAGAAAGCAGTGAGTTTGCAAAGAAGCTATTCTGTGTTCAATGTGACTGAAATCTTGGCGCTGCATTTCCTCTGTTTGGTTATTGAGGTGTATGGCCGTGTAGATTGCAATCAACTTGACCTTTCCAGACTCTGAGGAAGGCGAAATCCGTCGAAACGTCAGCTTGTGCGTACATGAAGAAATAAAATAACACCTCGCATTTGTTAAACAGAAATAGAAAGAATTATTCAAAATATCACTATTCTACGACATTAACAGGCTTCAAGAGAGGGGTTACGCAAGACGATACCATCGCGAAAAATTATTTAACGCCGCCCTCGAACGCCATATCAACACTGAAATGGGACAACATAAGATTCAAAATCCATAGTTGGTAAATGCACCAATTTCTCTTCCCTGACGACACCGTTGTTATAACACCAACAACAGCCTAGGCGCAGCAAAACTTTTCAGACTTTGGTAACACCATGATAGATCTACGATCAAATGTTGCAAAAACGATGTCCCCGCGGTGCCGACTGCTCTACTTCCTAATCATGTTAAACGGAAGTAATGTTTCCGAATACTCCAGCACGCCTATCCAAATCGAGAAATGAACAAGATGAACGACTTCGTTCCTGAGTTGAACAGGAGAAAGAAGGCAACCCAGGAAAGAGCTTTTAAGAGCATCGAGGATGTACTGAAGAGACTACACACGACCACACGTCCACCTTTTCGACTCTACGATTCTTCATGCTTTAACGTATGCATCAGAAAGCTGGTCGGCACGCAAGCATGAATTAAGCAGGATGAAAGACCACTCAGTGCTATAGAACGTGTGATCGAAAGGACGATGCTAGGAAAGAACGATGCTAGGAGTATCCTGTGTCACACAAGTCAGATAAGGGATCCGTAGCACCGACCTAACACAACGAACAAAAGTTAAAGAAGCCGCTCTGTACACCAACTGTCGAAGATAAGATGGGCTGGACACAGTGCGTATGAACTACAACTGGTGTACAAGGACAATGGATTCATCAGGACGCCAAGCGTACTGCAAGAAAGCCACGGACCCGGTGGCCAGAGTTTTTCAGGAGAAACCTACAAGAAAGACGTGACACTCACCGAGACCAACTGACACACTCTAGCAGGCTACAGTGACAAATCGAGAATTTACTGGCACTCCCTTTAGTCACCCACCAACCAACTCCTCTACAAGCGATACTGATTATATGAATATATATATATATATATATATATGTGACAATAACAATGAAAATCCCCAAGTAGCAACAGAAGTCACACGTTAAAGTTAGATCTTCCTGGAGAATTGATGCGAGGAAACGAATCGAATGTGAGAAGTACAGCGATCCGCACGGTAGACGTGAAGACAGGTTATACAAAATAGAAAAAACAAAATTTATATGTGTATCTACACATGTATATATATATAAGTAGTGCATATACATAGACAAACCAGGAATCCGTTTTCCAAGTCGTATGGCGCTGCATCGTTCCCAACTCTACGTAACTCTGGACAACAACGTGATAGATGAGAATACGTTGAACATTCTCCAATACAAAGGCACTGACACCGTCGACACATTAACACTCTAAATAATCATCCTATGCGAAGAAATGGCAGTAAGAAAACGCTGATAAGAACAATTCACTAACTTCTCCCACAGACCAGCATGGACCACGTTATGCTTTTTTGACAGCACCTTTCTTGCGTATAGTCGGCAATTTGTAGAGAACTTCTGCGAAATATCGCATGCAAGTTTCGAACCATTTCCAAACTCGGACTCTCCCGTAATACATTCGCACTGAGTTTCCGAAGAATTATATAGCTTAGAAGAATACTCCTAAAAGCAAACATTTAGGAAAGTTTTAGGTCGCTCAGATATTATATAAGAAATAATTGGAAAACAACAGTAATGAAACTGATCATGACCGACACATCTCTACTTAGAATAGCCCTTATTAAACGAACGCAAGACTATTAAAATCTTCACATATTTGCTAACATGGAACAGCATTGTCCACTCATAACGATTGTGACAATCCATCGTTCCTGTTATATATGTATATATATACATATATATATATATGTATACATAAATGAATATACGTAAATTTATGGATAAACGTGATGTACGTTCAAGACATGCATCAACATTACGAATCCCGCCTTTCGGAACGATTTCAATTCGAGTTGTCTTTGGCTGTCGACTTTTTCCCAAACCACTTTAAGAACTTAATCGACATTTCAACGTTCATTCAACCTCATAGAGCAGATACTGCACCAAGCGTGGTCCATGAAAAGGTATTCCCTACATATAATAGCCTACAAGAAAACTTCCAGACCAGTTTGTTGCTCGTGACCTGAGTCGCACCACAAGCAGTAATATTTCTACCCTACTTGCGTACTGAATTCCGAAATTTAGGTACGCTTTAACGTTGTGATAAGATGGCAAATTCCTGAGGAATCCCGCTCTGACTTAATGGTAAGTAGAAGCACTATCCTTGTCCATAGTGCGCATTCGCAAAAAGGTATAGTGCGTCTTTGTACACTTTGTGGATTCCCTACTGCTATCATAATATTCCACTGATTTGCTTAAAAACGTTTGTGTTCCAAGTAGCAGTTCTTGCACATCGTTTATGATGATCATTACCAGTAACACCTCTAATATACTCTTCGGTGTACTCCAAATTTACATACAACTACAACCGTTACTGCTCACCAAGCCCAGCAAGGATCAATCCTCTTATTTGCCAACAAGATAGGAAACACCAAGCAGTGTGCAGATTATGAGCTGTAAAGCTTAGAGAGTTGCAACGGTTGTTACAGTATGTAAATTTAAAAAACACCGAAGCGAACACTGAAGATGTTACTGGTTAAGATCACCGCAAACGATGTGCAAGAACTGCTACTTGGAACACGAACGTTTTCAAGCAAATCAATGGAAGATTACGAGAATAGCAGTAAGGAATCCACAAAGCGTACATAGACGCATTATACTTTTTCATGAATGCGCACTCTGGACAAGGAGTGCTTCTACATACCATTAACTCAGAGTAAGTTTCCTTAGCAATTTACTACCTAATCATAATAATGATGCTTATCTAAATTTCGAAAATAAGCACTCAAGGTAGAGATATTACTACCTGCAGCGCGACTCAATTGGCGAACGTACTCACCTGGAAGTTTTTCTTTGTAAGCTATTACATTTAGAGAATAGCTTTTCATGGACCACGCTTGGCCCAGTATTTGCTCGATCAGGTTAAATGAATATTCAACCATCGATCAAATACTAAAAGTGCTACAGGGAAAGTAGACAGCCAAAGACAACCCACAATGAAATCAATGCGATCGCTACATTCGCCAGGGGTTACGCACTGAAGCCGATACACGTTATAAACTTACATCTTGTACATGTTCATACATACTTGATACTACAACGGCTCACTCTCACCAGCTGTGCGGACCCCATCATAATCATCACTTTTCGGAGACTTTCTGGTTAAGCCGTAGTGGTTCCCTGGAATCTCGAAGAGAACCTGGCCAAAGTTTACCGCAGGTTATCACCACGACAGGTATTCGTAGCCCTTGCGGATAAGAGGGAGATTTGCCACCATGCGACTATGATTGCAGAACTTTGGTGAGTCCTTGCATTGGCTTACTCTTAGCTAGGCTTCCTGATGGAAACGTCGGACTCCTTCTCAGCTTCGGAGACCCTGGCGGTGGGACGAACCCCTCCGGGAGCAACCGCCAACACACGTCCAAACTTTCAAAAACAATGCAGAAAGGCGATAAAAGAAGACCTTAAAGGGAGAAGATCACCAGTAATCGTCGAAGCTGCAAGGGCTCGGGAAGGCATTTATAAAGCACACCGAAGCTTCGCCAATTCCAAGACCAAAATGATTGCACTCCGACGTCCAGGCGGAACAGTTAAAGCGTCCAGGAAGACAATGGAGAAAACGATTCACGAATACTACTTACATCTCATAACTACCCACGTCCACCTTCCGTCATATGAAATAAAGGAGGATGGATATGTTCTCTTCCAGTTCTCCCTTCCAAAATCCGACGTGCCACTTCGTCGGTGAAAAATCGAACAGTGCCAGGTAAGGAGACGATAAGATCAGAACACCTGAAGGACCTTCCGCCAGTCCTCATAAACACACTGGCTCGGCACCTTACACGTTACCGGTCTGAATGCAAGGTCCCTACTCAGCGGAAGACCAACAAGACCGTGTTATTGTTGAAGGAAGGTGACCTACAAGTTATCGGCAGCTATCGCCCAATCTGCTTGCTGTCTGTCGTCTACAAACTATCAGTCGAGTCATCCCAAACAGGATTGGCAACACTGGACGAAGGACAGCAACGTGAGCAAGCAGTATTTCGAAAACGATTTAGTACGGTGGACCACATCCACACGACAAGACTCACTGAAGTATCGCGAGAGTACAGAAGACCACTGTGTCTCCCTTCCACCAATTTACAGAAGGCGTTTGACTCAATTGAGCTATAAGCAGTCATGGAAGCACTCGATAGTCAAGGAGTCCCTACTCGGCACATAAAGAATCTTCGTGAGCTGTACAAAAATTTCACAACTGAGGTATCACCATTCTACAACTATATTGACATCAACGTCGAAAGGGAGGTTAGCCAAGACGATGCCATCTCGCCAAAATTATCTGCCGCTAGCCTCCAGAACGTTATGTGAACATTGGAATGGGATAATATCGGAGTGAAAATCGATAATCTGCCGTTACACACAAAAACGATGTTCATGAAGAACGGATTGGTTTGGCATGCCCCATTCACGCTCAACGGAACGAACATCTCCGAGCGCTCCAGTTATGTCTATGTAGTTCGGGAAATCAACATGTTGAACGACTTAGCTCCAGAGCTGAGCGGAAGGAAATGAGCGGCTTGGGGAGCTTTCAAGAGCATCGAGGATGTAGTGAAGATAACAAAGAACACCCGACTTCGTGCCCATCTTTTCGACACAACGGTACTTCCTGCTCTCAAGTATGCATCAGAAACCGGTCGCTTCGTAAACAGGATGAGAAACTACCCAGTGTTGAACGCGCAGTCGAAAGAACGATACCAGGAGTATCCCTTGTCACGCAAGTAAGGGGAAGGATCCGAAGCTCCGACCTGCGTCAACGATCAAAACTCAATGATGCCGTTCTGTACGCTACTCAGTGGAAGATAAGGTGAACCGGACACACAACGCGTATGAACGACAACCGACGGACAAGAGCTGTTGGTGACTGGATTGCTTGGGATGTTAAATGAACTGCAGGAAGACCACAGACCGATGGTTTGAGTTCTTCACAAACAGCCTTGAAGAAAGATATAATGCTCGACGAGTCGCTAGAGCGAGCAGGAACCACTGGGCTACTCTTGCCACGCGATAGGGAAAAACGGAAGATTTACTGGCGACCGCTCGAGGTACTCGACGATCAACGGGACTACAGGTGATACATGTGATGCAGGAGCAGTATTCCACATCCACATAGAACGCTTGAATTTCGTCCTTGTCATAACTTCATGTCGGTGTATTAATGAGCATTGTCAAAGCTGGCATTGATCCACATTTCTCTAAGTGTTCGACTGGGGTTGTTAATTGTTCGAGTGAATCGATTTTTATAGCTAAACTTATGTTGACGAGAACGTTCATGCCACCGACCCCCTACTGTCGCATGTTCCGAGGAACAGTCCGTCTTCGGTGTCATGGGTGGCGTAGAATGGTTGGCGTCTTGTCGTCTCATCCTGTCAGATTCTTCGCGTGCTGTACAAAAATTTGACAAACAAGGTATCACCATTCTACAACGATATTAACGTTTACGTCAAAAGAGGGGTTAAGAAAAGTGATACCATCTCGCCAAAATTATTTACCGCCACCCTGAACGTCATGCGAATATTGGAATGGGACAATGTGGGAGTGAAAATCGATTGTCGGCAGTTACACCATCCTCGCTTTGCTTATAACATCGTCCTTATAGTACCAAACATTAACCAATAACACCAAGCATTAGCCAAGCTGAACGTATGCATGCCGACTTTGATAAAGCCTGTGGAAAGATTGATTTTCGACTAAATCTAACAAAAACGGTGTTCATGAAGAACGGATTGGTTTTGCATGCCCCATTCACGCTCAACGGAACAAATATTTCCGAATGCTCCAGTTATATTTTTCTAGGTCGGGAAATCAATATGATGAAAGACCAAGCTCCAGAGCAGAGCAGAAGGAAACCAGCGATGTAGTGAACAGAACAAACAACACCCGCCTCCCTGCCCACCTTTTCGACTCAACGATACTTCCTGCCCTAACGTATGCGTCAGAAACTTCGTCGTTGTGTAAGAGGAATGAGAGACCACCCAGCGTTATCGAACGCGCAGTCGAAAGGACAATGCTAGGAGTATCTCGTTTCACACAAGTAAGGGATAGGATCCGGAGGAAAATTTACTGGTGCCCGCCCGAGTCACTCGATGATCAACGGAACTACAGGTGGTATGTATATATATATATATGAACATATATATGAACATAACATGTATAACATGTGTATATATATATGAACACACATAACATGCATATATATGTACATATATATATATATATATATATATATATATATGTAAAGGCAAGTATATATACACATTCAAACAAGAAAGATGGATTGCCGCAGACGTTTCTACGTAAGTGCTACTCTGGTAAAAGTGCTATAATCTAAAAAGATGATAAGCAAGACCTAAAGTATTTTGAATAATCAGTAGAGAAGTAGATCTTCCAACAGTATGGCTCAATGACATTCAAAACGGTTTCGGAAATACCATTTCTGTACTGATAGCATAAATTTAAAAGACAAAAACATAGACAGAAGACTAACTGTTTCCTCTTTAGAGTTCACTGCTGTGTAGAAGTATCCGTTCGTTTTTAAGTCTGCCCCGAAATCAAAACCATCTCCCTCAAAAGAAGAAATTCGATGTTATAGTAGCGCATTACTCATTTAAAAACTGAAACGACCGTAAAAAAACTGTGGACTCACCAAAAGCTTCCTCACCTTGCTAAAATTCTTGCCGTTTATGAAGCCCTCGACGTCAACCTCATCTGGATCCACTATACAATCAGGATCGCTAAGCTTTCGCTTCAACCTATTCAGTTTTTTTTTCATTGTAACACTTTCCCATGGATCTACAACTTCCTGAAAAACTGATAAAATACATTCAGATAAGAATTATCCGTACCGACAAGCGACGAACAATGATCAATAAGCACCTTCAAAAATTTCGTTCTGAATATAGCAGAAGATACTCCTCCATAAATAAGTCCGTTTGAGTCAACACAAAGGTTAGGGCCACAGCTAGGTACTCCACCCTAAACTTTCGCAACAGATTAAGAAATTGCAATTGAAATATGAAATAATAAACTTGATAACTTAGTGACACACTAAGCAAAGAATCATGTGGGCACCTGCACAACCCATCTGACCGGTATATTAATGTGTAATAAAGATTTCTCTCTCTGTGATCTCAAAGAACCTGAGCCACTTCGTCCCAAGTGGTCCAGGTTCCCAATTTGCACTGTCGAACGAGAAAAAGCTCTACTGTTTGAGTTTCTGGCTAGGTTGTTCTCATGAGAGCGGTTATTCCTGACATCACCTTGCTCTGCATCTGGCTTTACATTTGCAAATGTCGATAAATTACCGAAGAGATAGCGGTGCTACTATATGTACAGCTGAAAAAGCTAAGAACCGCAACATGGACCTTGAGATCATCCGCTGCGTTTCTATGCTTGTCATCATGACAATTGGGTGTTCACAGATCTCGAGCCACGACAGCACGATTCAGAAGCAAGTCATCCAAGAAAAAGACCGCAAAAACAAGAAGGCTTTCCAACTCAAAGCCCACAAAGTGTTAAACTATTAAAAGGATTGGCGTCGTTGTGAAAATCAAGTTAAGAGGAAACACCAATCATTAAATACGTTCTTTCAGATGCCTGAGTGGGGCCTGAGAATATCTCAACATAGTTATCTCGAGGTATCAGGAATGTAAACCTCCGTACTAGAAAATTTTCCTCAGTATTATACACATCACGCATTCGCTATATGAGATCAAGCAGCAAAGAAACTAGAGTTGGACAACTCAGACTTCAACGAAAGTTAGTGCAGGATGAAGACATGCTAACGATCCGCACGTTTCCATCAGGAATCCGAGATAACAGCAAACCAACACCAGGATCCACCACCGTCCTCATATAAAACTAGTGGCGAATAATATTATTCGCATAATGGCGAATTTCCCTCAGATCCACAACGGCGGAACTGCCTGTGATTGTGATGACGTTAAGGAGACTGGCTAGGCCAACCACAGGATTCCAGAGAACAATAATGGCTAGACCAGCAAAACACCAAAAAATGGAAGCTATACTGGGGACAGCAAAACTAGTGAAGATAGGTCATCCAAGTATCCAAGTAAGTAAAAATAACTTGACCAAGCCTAAAATTTTACACTCATAACTAATGCTCTATCTGTATCTTCTGAAACATAACCAGTACATCTAAAATCAAGCCTGGCTATCTAGTTCAGTTTAACCATTATGCCGTCTTCATGGGCTGGAAAAAAATGTATACAAAAAAGGAATGGATACGCTGGCCAAGTGCCGAGTTTGACGGTAAAGTTTAGTAGAGAATGTCAGCATTCTTTAAAACAACCACGCAGTGGCTCGGGGTGTTTGTAACCCATAATAATCGATTATGCTGAAATTACGATGAAGTAGAAGTAGATCAAAAAATGACCCTCACAAGTGTCATTAATGAAATAAACCACGACCATGGAAGCCGGTTGATAAGGAAACAAATGGTAGTTATGTTGGTGCCAGCAAGATTGGCTTTGAGAGATAAAATACCTACACATAGTATTGCTGAAAAAACGTCAATGACTAACCGTAATGAATGTGCAAAAACGAGACAGATACACGGCAAGATAACAGGATTTTCCTCCCAAATGCGACAACAAATGCTCTCTGAAACGTCGTTGTCATAAAAATGTACCACAATCTCTGGAAACACATGATCAAAAGCAATTTAGTAGAAACGAATTAATACCACTTATCATTGCTGGTAAGGGCGCGTGTGGCGCGGTGTTCGGAGGTGCCCTGCAGCACACACGTGGAATCGATCCCCGCGCCTATGGCCCACCAAGCCTACCATCCTTCCGGAGTAGGCAAACTGGTGCCAGATTTGCACTGGCTCGATACATCAGTAGGTCACCGCGAGTTATTGTAAAGGCCAGATATGCATTCAATCACCTCCAAACAATGCTTAATGAAGTTGGTGCATCCCTCAAGGATTGAACAACGCCGAGAGCTTTATCCTTTTTTATAATTGCTGGTGGTAATTAACAAGTCATTTAGGTCTAAAGCAAATCGAGAAATGAGCAGCAGAAAACGGGTAGATTCAGCAAATAGCTCTACTGACTACCCTGTGATCGCAACGAACTATGGACGCCTGTGCGAAACTAATGTTTTAACCATACCAAAGCTTTTAATCAAGTATTTCGTAGTCATGATAACCAAACCATTAGAAGAACAATTAAAAAATAACATTACCCAAAAATTGCATGTGATTCTTCATTTGTACCTGTAAAAAGCTTCTTGGCTAAATTGCTTTGAACATACAGGACAACACTTCTTGTTGCATTCTTCGTGAGAGAGGAAATGAGACTCTAGTGAGTCAACGCTTTCGAAGTCGGTTAATCCACAATATGGACAAACGATTTCGACATCTTAACAAATATTAACTCACGTATGTGTAGAATAGATCAAAGGTAAAGAAGAAATCACTAGCCTTCCACAGCAAATGTCATTGTATGGATTCGCAACCGTGTTTCGTGTGAAAGCTGTACTCCAGCATAAACCACTAGTGGTACCAATTTTTCAGAATTATGCAAGGCCTGAAGAAAAAACAGAGAATGGTAAGTAAAAAAAGGTTTTTGTGAAGCATAAATTTTTAGAGCGCCGAAAATGGATTACATGGAAGTTAATTATCTCATCCCAGTGTGCTATGCTGGACTCTCCTATATATGAGCAAGAGATAGGTAGCTGCGAACCACAGTCTGTGCAAGCCATGATCGTAGTCGCAAATTTCATGGTGAGCTGCAAAACAAATCAAAATGTTCATAAATGGATCAAATTCTGCACATCACGACAAAGATGAGTTTAGAACTTACTACAAATTACCTGTATTTCATCTGATGAATCAACATTTTCAAAGAAAGTTGCATCAAATTCAGCACAGTTATCATGTATCTTAAGAGCTTCCAAAGAAGGAAACACCATCCCACAAAAATGGCACGCGTATAAATGAGCGCAAGAGTGACGCTCAAGCATGTGCAACTAAAACCTTATATAGATTGCGAGAAAAAGATTTGAGTATAGCAGAAAAGATATTTCTGTATCTGTAGTTCCTACTATACTAGATTATCACCTGGTACTGGACTGCATTTGCAAGCTTCTCAGCACTAACTGGACAAAGCGGACAGTGAATCCTTCGAGACAAAAAAGCTTCGTACCTAAAACTGGGTATGGCAAAATCAAATGCGGTAATACATTAAGTTCCACGTGCTTGATGGACGGCAAACACGTTATCAATACAAAATTCGTCTCACGAGATTAAGTCTCCCTTAGAAATTTAGATGGTTCACATTCACACTCAAGCGATAATTTTCAAAACCTCTAAATTTCTATAGAGAGGTTTAGACATCATACTAGACGGTTTTCTACTGATTTCCATCACTGGGGCATCGCCAACTGGTTAGTCGCGTCGCCATGTGGCGCCTCCTACATTGGTAGATGGGAGTTGAACGCCGACAAAAGGCAACTGGGTGGCGGAGACTAAAAGCGACCTTTGCTTCACTGAGATGCAGGTGGATCTAGGAGTGGACACTCTGCTTCTGCTGCGTCCATCAATTTAACACATACATTCTGAAATTATGTAGACATGAGCATACATGTGTGGGTGTGTTGGGGCACATGCAGACAGTATTCTACAAGCCAATTCAGCCAAAGCACTTCACTGACAGGTCAACGCAAATTCTCGTTACAAGACTACGACAAGCACACACCGAAGGTCCTACATTTACAGCCTCTTAGAGGCAACGAAAATGATTATCCACGCCTACTATTCTGATCTCTTCAAAATATCCACCTGGTTCCACATGAAACGAAACAGGAAGGACACGTCTTCCAGATTTACGCCTTCCTTGCTGTTAAACAACACTGGGAATTTTGCAATCTTCTGTCTGTCTGTCGTCTACATACTTGAATAATCTTCCGCCAGTCCTCGTCAACACGCCTAGTTGCATCTTCACAGATTACCTGCCAGGATACAAGGCTTCTACTCAATGGAAGAGTGATGACCTCTACGGTATCGGCAATTATACCCCAATCTACCTGCTGTCAGTAACCTACAAACTTTTCATTCGAGTCGTCCTAAATAGGATCGAAAGAATACTAGACGAAAGACAGCAGAGTGAGAAAGCAGGGTTTCGAAAAGGATTTAGTACGATGGACCACATCCATACGATAACAATGCTCATTTAAGTATCGCGACTGTCTCTTTCATCATTTTACAGAAGGCTTTAAACTCAGCTGAGACAGAAACAGCCATCAAAGCCATTTCTGAACAACCAGGTCGCCCGTGCTCAGTATATAAAAATTCCTCGTGAGTTACATTACAATTCCATGACCAGAACATCACCGTTCTATAACGACATAACATCGACGCAAAGAGAGTGGCTGAAAAGGGAAAAGGAAAAAGGAACCGTCTCACCGATACCACTTAATGCCACTTTAGAGAACGTTATGTGTTAAGTGGTATGGGACACTCAGGTAAAAATCGGTGGTCGGAAATTACACCATCTTTGCTTTGCTGATGATATTGTTATTACAATATAAAGCATTAGAAAGATTGAGTGAATGCTGCTCTGTTTGACAGCGAATGTGATAACTTTGCTTTTCAATGGAATCTCAAGAGAATGGTAGCGAAAATGGATTTCCTTTTATTGCCTGATTCACCACGAACCGAACGAATATTTTTAATGCACCGGTTACGGGTATCCGGGTCAAGGTGTCAACGTAACAAACCAACAAACCACATATAACAATGACGGCGCGGTTGGAATCGTGAGCATCCTAAAAAGGTATGATGCTCAGCGAGTGTCTAAAGCGAACAAAACTCAGTCGGCTTCTCTAGGACACGACAGGGATAAAGTGAAACTTTAACGGCGACCGCTCGAGTTAATCGACAACAACAGCAGAACAGGTGATGTTGATGCGCAGTAAACAGCTTCGCAATTTATCCACAGTCGGCTGTATGGTAGACGGGTGCCACAACATGTCTAGGTCGTAAAGATCAGGGTGTTGCAGGACAACGCATCATCAGAGGAGCAAAACAAGAATACACATACTAATGATGCCATTCTTATTTTCGACTCATCTTAGGAACTTTAACCTTACACGTGTTTAAAGTCCCGCGAGCTATTGGATTCCGTATCACTACAGTAACTTAGACTGAAAATCTTTACCTTATGCTTTAGCATTTTACATGTGTTCCATAGCAAATTTTGACCTTGCCATCTAGGAGTGCTTTTATACAGAGACGAATCTGATGTATACTATAGGCAACAAATTCTGCAGTTTCGCGTTCCATTAAACCAGTTGTAGAGACGGTAACGAGTGCGCAGACATCATTAAGTGTTTAGTGGTAGTGTAACCGCTAATCTTTTAAGGAATGGCTGCTCACTAAGAACTTAATAAATTGATTGCCAATCTGAAGAGATGAGTGGTGGGAGGTTGAAGGGACGAAGTGGTTAGTCGTGCCATCGATCAGGAACTAAAGGCGCGAGCTCGACTCTCTCCCAACACAGCCCTCCAGTCCACGTGGGAACGCCTTGGCTCGGCTGTTCCCAAGATTGAAAGGAGAATTGTGTCGACCAGCATTCTACTACACTCACAAAAACAAGACAAAATTCTCAAGCAGCAGCCGAAACAACATGCCTAATGTTCGAAGACCACTGGGGATGAATTTAAGGAAAACGAATCGAATGTGAGAAGTGCTGGGATCTTTAAAGTAGAAGTGATAACAGGTTATGGGAAAATGCAAAAAAATCTTATAATTAATAGAGATTTGATGAACGTTAACCGATGTCATTTAATGAATGAGATCGATTACCTGACAAAGTCGTCTTTCGACCGACGGTCCATAAAAATATGTTCGCTGGGGGGCATAACACACGCGTCTGCACCAATCTCTGATTACATGTACACAGATATATATATACATATATATATGCATATATACACATATATACATATGTGCATACATACACATTTTGTTAGATTGATAAACGGTAAAAGCCCACCATGAGCAAAGTTAGTAGGATCGTTAATGAAAAGGGGCGCATCGTGATCCAATAAATCTGAAACACATCGCGAAAATACCGAAATAACAACGATCGTACTCCACTTGATATATTCACCTCTTTTCTCGGCTAGCTTTGATAGATGTTGTAGCCGAACTCGACTACGAGCTGCATATTCGTATTCACGTCGTTTTTTCCTGTCTAGTCTGTTGTACTAGAAAAAAAGCATTTCATCAACCATCTTGTTTTCGAAAAGAACCACGATATACCGAAAACAAGCGTACCAAAATGCGGGCGGCTTGCAAATAACGTTCAACAGAGGTGGCTGTTGCGAGAAAAGATTGCTTGTTAACCAATTCCTTTTTCACTTTCTCACTGAAAGCCACCGTTTCTTAACCGTACACACACGGAACTGTTTCGGAACAAATAGCAATCCTTTCTAATTTGTATTCTCGTAAATAGAAATACATTCAACGCAACAAATTAAAACTTTTTGTATAAAAAGACAATACTGGGTTTACGGAATAGTCCATCATTTATATAAAGCTCGTTTAAGAATTCCCTTACAAGTACAGTATGTATCACAATTTCTAAATTTGAATACACTTAGATACTTGGACGGCCCATCCTCACTGGTTGTGCGGACCCCAGCATATTCTCCACTTTTCGGAGTTTTGCTAGCTTAGTTATTGTGCTTCCCCGCAGTTCCGAGGTAAGGCCGGTCAAAGTCCGCCCCAGGTTGTCACCACCACAGCAGCCGCAGCCCCTGCGGATCAGAGAAAGATTTGCCACCATGCGACTGCTTTGATACCAGGACGGTGGTGGATCTGTCGTTAAGTTTACACCAAAACTAATTTAAATTTTCATTACTTCTTATTTCAACTTCGTAGTTAATTTAATGCAACGATTTTGTAGCAGAGTATTAGATTACATCAATTGTTGTCTCATCTGCAATTCGTTTATCTACAAATCACATACGATTAATAATGTAGAGCGAATTCAGGTAACTTCCCGATCGATGCTTTTCCGACCAAATACCACTCATGTATACATCTTATGACCACCAATAGGGTTTTAGCTTCATGAATGTATTCACAGATGTATTTTCCGAATATGGAATAACCATCGGAAGTGTAGTTTCAAATGTATTCGGAGCTCGCCCTCATTGTAAAATTAGCTACAGTCATTAGAGATTCATTGGATCAAAACTAGTGTGACGCCTCCATCGAACATTAGTTGGATATAGACTTGCGACTCGTACCACTACACATTGTCAGTGGACAGTTTAGGATGGTCTTTCCAAGTTCCCGAACAAACCCGGACAAAGTTTGCTTGGAAACATTTGTACCGTACAAACCAGCAATTGAAAACCTTGGAACTTACAATGAACGTTTAATGCTTTCATCGGTATTTGAACGCAGATATTCAATGTAGCCACTGTGCAAGCCTTTAGAGGTGAGAAGCTTAATCGCTTCATTGACAAGCAGCGAATTATATGAAATCAAGTTTGGAACTTGTGCCTGAAAGAAAAGTACACTGCATGGTAGAATATACAAAAACTCAAAACACTGGCCCTAAAAGTCCGTTACTGGTCCATCGCTGAACTTTGGTTCATGATTTGATTGAAACCTATATTGGAGTACCACAAATATCCAATATCTGTGGATAAACTCTAAAACTTTACCAAGGTACATGAAATCACTCACCACTGGTTCTGGATTGGAAGACCGTGAAGAGAACGGTCTCTGTCTATCCTTTGTTCTTATTGGTTGTAATGGCTTCTTTCGCACTCGTTTTTTCACAAGACGTTTGTTTGGATCCGCAGCCGAAGTGGGACATGGATGCTGCTTCAATTTGACAATTATTCACAAAAGTATAGTGTTTGGAAACTATTCATGATTAACACAGCAAAACCGTCGACTAAACGATTTCTCGAAACACAACATAATTTATTGAAACAAAGCGTATCATGTAGATACTGGACTCTGGTCCAAATTCTTGCTCGTAAGGAACAGAGCTTATCCCGCAATTTACCCTTTCTTTCTGGAAACGCATCACAGTCTCACTCGCGAAAACAAAGTGATAGTGCGCAAGAAGTAACCACAATCCAACAATCAATATTCGACAGATACTGTAAAACAAACGACGCGTGTGGCGCAGTGGTCGGACACCCCTGCAATATACACATCGGATCGATCCTCGAGCCTCTGGCCCACCAAACCTTCCATCCCTGCGGTGTCGGCAGATTGGTAACAGACTTATCTAGGAGGATAGCAGCACTGGCTCGATACACCGGTGCGCCACTTCGAGTCATTTTGAAGGCCAGATATGCATTCAATCACCTCCAAACGATATTTAATGAAGTCGAATGCATGTTGTACCTTATTAATATGAATAAAATTTATGTATATTAATATATAAAACTTCTACATATATGTATATATAAAAATACTGATATGAAAAAAGTCTACAGATTTTTGCCAACAGGTACACGTTCCCATATTTTAACGGGACAAACCGTGGATTTTGTAGCGGCAAAATCGTTATCCGCCTGGTATCGTCGAAGCTCCAATGTCAAGATATTTTAGAATATTATACACAAAATGCGATGAAGCATCTCATATGTGTGTCAAATTAAAAATTTCCTAAGCCTTGTCGAAAAATTATCGCAAGTCGCCAAAAAAATAGCACATTCACGAACTTTCCAAAGGTTTTAATAGAAAAGAAAAAAATATTAAGGATTTGAAGGGATGGTTTAATATCCACATTGGTGACTATTCAGAAGTGTTTCCTGAATGGCAGATTGAACTTTGCTAATTCACTTAGTTGAAATCTATGCAACATTTGCGGTACAAAGTGTCCTCGACTGTTCTACGAGTGTTCATGAAAAAATGAAGCTGCTCTCTTCTCAGCTGATGACAATCGCTGATTCTCACGCAGAAGTTAATTCATAGCGATGTTCGTAGGATTCCTACTAGACGTTGTTGTACTCATCCAAAAACCTTATTATTTCTATGAAACCCTGAATTCTTCTCGTTTCCACTCAGAAAAGACCGTAATATAAAGTACTTGCACACACTTAAGAATTACCTTCAGATATACAGGTATCACTTTAAAATCTAAAAGAACTTCGTCTTTCACGTCTAAAGCCTACTATCGTAGAACAACTGCTAGTCAATGACTCTATGTTTCATAGTATTATAATATTGCTATGAAAACGTGGAAGAACACACCTGTTCTGACAATGTCTGGATTTCGCTTAGTGGTAATACTGTCTTGCAGTCTATTTCTCCACGTACATCATCATAAGTTGCGTTAGATGAAGATAGGCTCTAAAAAAGATTTCTATGAGCGCATCATATGGTTGGAAGTGCTCTTATTGTGTGAAATATGGTAAGCGATAACTGTGGTTCCATAAGTTCCTAATATTAGTTGTAATCCCGTTCACTATCGAATAAAATCGTCTATCCGCCTGCAACGTATCTACTAACCATCGTTCCATGTCAGGTCCACCCAGTGAATGACCAAAGCAACACTATAAACATAACATTTTGGGAATGAAGCCGTTAAGTTCTCCTATTTCGACGATAGGTTGCGTGTATAGATCCGCGGATCATGGGGCGCGAATGGTCGGAGATACGGCGTAAACTATGTCTCTTCAGAGCAAATGTGGAGCTCAGGTCTTAAAAACTACGACAAATTGTTTAGTGCATAATCATCAGTTAGCTCATTATAGGTTTTTGCAAAATCAGCATTCTGAATACAATCCACATACACGCAGCGACATTTATGCATTTGTGCATGGATATGACTACATATATGTATAAAGATAAAAAGAGGATAAAGCTCTTGCCGTTGATCAATCCCTGAGGGATGCACCATGCATTCGACTTCGTCAAGTATCGTTGGAGGCGACTGAATGCTTATCTGGCCTTTACAATTATTCGCGGTGGCTCACCGATGTATCGAGTCAGTGCTGCTATCCTCCCAGACAAGTCTACCAATTTGCCAATTTGCCAATGCCATCAAGATACCAATTTGCCGACCCCGGTGGGATGGAAGGCTTGGTGAGCCACCGGCTCGGGGATCGATCCCACGTGTGTGTTGCAGGGCACGTCCGATCGTTGCGCCCCTTATGTGTGTATAAGCTATGAGTAAAACCACAGAAGCAGAAGAACAAAGCACAACATCGGAATCCACTTGTGCTTGGAGCAAGCACATGGTCGCTTTATCTCTGTGCATTTTTAACTACTTGGAAACACAACACATAACATAACTACTAAGCAGAAATGGTTCAGTTTAAATGTTTAGCACCTCGGCAGTAAAGTAGTCAATATATGTTTATATTGTTGAGGTTACACGAAGTTGATAGAGATGTTTATTCGGCTAGCATTTCCTCGTCTTCGTCTTCATCAGAGCCGATGATCCAAGTCGATGATCCACAGTTATGGTCTTTTATGGTATGAGACTCGGATCGTCGGCTCTGATGAAGACGAAGACGAGGAAATGCTAGCCGAATAAACATCTCTATCAACTTCGTATAAGCTCAACGATATAAACATATATTGACTATTTTACTACCGAGATTAAATCGGTTTCAAAATCAGTGTCCTAAATTCTCCAAGTCTTTAGCTTTAGAAGAAAAAAGTTAATTGCAAGATTTTTACTGTACTATTTGATCTGGGTTTCACTTTGTGAAACCATTGGATCAGCTGACTAATCCAGAAGGGGGAAAGTGAGGAAGGGAAAAGAAAAAAAAGAAACATAAGCTTCATCTCAGTTCCTGTACTTAGTTCCTGTACTACCCATCAATATGCTTCACGAAAAAAAGCCCGTCTTAGTACCTCAATATAGCTGAAAGACTTGATTATTTGGATTGCCACACTATTTGAACAAATTCAAACCGCAAGATATTTGTGCCAAGGAGGACAAACCAAATGAGTACAAAATATGCCAAAGGACGGAATGTTTGAAGAACAAGTGCAAAGAAGACATCTAGAAAATCAATAGGAATGAATGTTTGCAAATTATTGGAATGATCACATCCGTGTCGGATGTGTATGGCACTGTGAGCGCGCAAAGATGCATCAAAGTGTAAACATGACCTCACCTCTGCGTGGAAGGCCTGTGATTGCAACAGCACACAGTTTGGATGGAGCATGTTTTCAACGATCTGTAACATTTTCTTATACGGTTTCATGCGAATTCAGACTCTTGAAGAGGGGTTGAGAAATAGCTACGAGCTAAAATTGTAGTGAAGCAAATACTCGAAGAGGCTAGATCACCATGTTCTACCTGGTCAAAAAGTCAAAGTTTAGAGAGTCAGCCAGCAAGATTAGAGGGTTAACCTCTTTGGCACTAAGTGTCATTTGAATTGAAATATTGCTAAACGCATCTATAACATTTGTACGTAAAGACACTGGATACAGCACTACATACAGCATTGCATACCAATGCGAATGTAAAAAGGCACGTCTCTTGAAGGCGCCATTGTCATATCAAACGCGCGTACGCTATGTCGACTGCTGCGGGGAGAGACACATCGAACAATGAGACAGAACGCACGCTAGACGGCTTTCTGTTCGTCTGCACTCTCTGAAATTCGCGTTGTCACGCGCCGAATCAATAACGGCGTCGGTCAATTAGCGCGCCTAGGCCGCCCGTACCATCCGAACGTATCGATCGATGCGCGAGCTATCCCGCACTAATTACACCGGCTGCGCGCGATACCCGCCCGACACACATTCACGCGGCGAAGCAGAAGCGGGTGTATCGGAGGTCGGGGACGTAATCGAAAAGCGAAGTCTCTGTTGTATTATGGATCGGAGGTAATTTGCGAAATTTCCTAGCGCAGCACTTTTTGTTAGAACTGATGCACTTTCTAGTGCAGCTCTCTGAGGTTTCTACCTGGTTTCATTAGCGTTATTTGGTCGAATGGAAATCGTGAACGCTGCTAGAGGTAATCATTAATAAATTTACTGACACTTTACTGACTGGTTCTATATTTCAAAAAACCATATTTGCTTTAGTCTCGATATGACTAGTCAGTATTTTCCTAGATGATTAACGTTGAACAGGCTAACATGGAGTCGATAAAAACTTCATCCTGCTAGCGTTTCGGCGCCTTTGCCTTTTTCAGAGCAAGGATGAAATGTGTCGATGGATAATGGCACACAGGCTTTCGTCCTTCCGACGTGGGTTTTCGCAGTCGAACCCTCTCGAGTGAAGCACCGCCCCTTCGAGATGACTCAGCAGTGCAAGACAAGTGCATGTTCGATTGAGAAGGACGAGCCAGCAGTGCAGGACAAGCGGATGTTCGGTCGGGAAAGCAGAGAAATAGTACGGAGATAATCGATATCTATGGAGAGTGTTCTCTATAGTTTCAGTCAGCCGCGAAGCAGGTGCATGAGATAGTGAGTAAGAAGCAATAATCGATATCTATAGAGAATGTTCTCTATATTTCCAGCCAGTTACGTAGCAGGTGCGAGGGGTAGTGAAACAATTTGCAATGAGTGCAAGGATAGACGCCGTTACCACTAAATACATTTAGAGTGGGAAATATACGGTAATACAGTGAATGGGAACTATTCGAGGAATAAATCCCACGACCGACTTTCTATTAACCTCGGCATTGATCAAGTAATTCTTCATATTCTTGTTGAGCAAACGCGAGGTGATATTTTATTCTTTATTCACGAACAAACTGACATTTCGGCGGATTTCGCCTTCCTCGGAGCCTGGAAAGGTCAAGTTAACAGCAATATATTCTGCCAAACACCATAATATGTTTGGCCAAATAGATTGCTGTTAACTTGACCTTTCCAGGCTTTGAGGAAGGCGAAATCCGCCGAAATGTCAGTTTGTTCGTGAATAAAGAATAAAATATCACCTCGCGTTTGCTCAACAAGAATATGAAGAATTATTCAAGCAATAGTTACTGTAACTATTGCGGCTTTCGTTACTTACTGCGGAATTACAAGAGAATCTTGCTATGCAAAAAAGACCTTGCTCTGATATTTTATGAAAAGTTAAAGCAACGGCGACATTGGTTAGCCTTCTTTTGGACGAGTTCATTCGTCTGATTTGAACTATACAGCAGGAACTAGGATATCTTTTGTACTAGTACACGGTGATTCGTACCCTACGACAGTTTTTCGCCGTTGGTCAGAGAGGAAACGTGTATAAACATATTGTAACTTTTCATCTGCTGCCTATTATTTTTCCATGGCAAGGGATTATGTGAAATACAAACGCAATGATGCCGGGATATTTGTAAAACAGTATTCCTTGCCAGATTCAAGCCCGCGATTACATTTTCTGGGAGACTACATGTCACCCACTGCACCACTGAGGCCGATGATAAAAAGTTAACCATCTGTGATCTCGACTACAGCTTTGGCTTCACTGGATTAAAAGGCGATTTATGCTCCCTAGATCATTTCTACTGACAAGCAGGTGATTGTTAATGGCACCGTTGGAGTAAAAAATTGGCAGAGAGAATGAGCAAGGGCATAACGGGTGTAGTAGGTAAGCCGTGAGTCTTCGGGAAGGGTGATCGGGGGTTCAAATCCGGCTTGAGCTCCAAGTTTTTTTAATGTCACTATCATTGTGGCTATAAATGTGTTTTTGATATAAAGAAGGAACGTGAATTTGCATTGCACGCATTCATTAGAGTATGGAGGACATCTTTAGAAACACAATAAATCCTCACTCTATATTCTCGTAGTATCAAATTTGACTCGGGTACGTGTACCGTAGATGTTAGAGGTACTCTGCAATGCACAAGTGGTCACTGGTTCGAACCGGTGGTGCAGACTAACCAAGCCCACCTCGTCCATGGTCCGAGGTAATGCATTCACTCTGCTCTAGGAGGCTTGTCCGGATCGAATGCATTGCTCATTGCTTTAGGGCTGATCATCTCTAACCGCTAACCGCCTTATCCTTTTTATTATTCCCACAATATATCACTTGCATTATGGAAACCATACTCGAAAACATTTCCATTCATTAGTTTTTCACTCCGTCAGTTGTGTCCTCCTCAGTCATCTATGTTTCACTGTCGATGCTTATTCTCTTGGATTGCGAAGATGGTATAGGTTCCGAGGATACGAGCTGCGTATTCCGGCTAGACGTTGTGTGTGCCAGTGCTCTGTGGGTGGCGTGCAGAATTCTTGTCTTGACTGAAGTATCGGCTAGCGTTTCAGCTGCATAACAGAGCTGTGAGAGGATTGTTTAATTAAAAAGAGATGGGCGGAGTCCCGGATCAGTTAGGCGGTATACGTGTTCATTCGCCTCCAAGAACTAAGCTATCCGTCTACTGAAATGACTGGCAAGCTAGGCTTAATTATACGCAGCCTCATGCAGACTTCAGCAAGCTCTACTTTGGTATCAAACGCTAAACACAGTAAAATAAGTAAAATAATTGGGTCTCCTTCTTGGATTGTTAAGCTAACACGAGCTTAATATAGATGCTTATTCGGTTAACGTTTCGTCGTCTTCGTCTTCATCAGTGCCGATGGCGTAAACCGATGGTCCACAGTTGTTCAGGTTCTCGATGTGGCGTCTTTGTCGTCGTACCGATACGGATCTTCTTCAGTGGAACACCGCTAGAATGAGGCAATCTCACCCGGGAGCGCTCTTTTATACAGGACGACTGTTGTTGATACAACTATGCGTTGATAGTAATTTGTTTTTAGACGGATAATCTATCCTGCAGCAGTCGATATTATGTTAGCTAGCAAGTAATGAATAGCTAACAATATTCTTCAAACCGACCGCCATTTAACTTCGGTAGTAATAGATTGTTAAGCTAACATGAAGTTGATATAGATGCAAAATTAGTGTGTCTCATTCCCCTAATCCAAAACGAGACCTCCATATGGCAGCGTTGGGAAGGTCGGGTACTGAGAGGTTTCTAATATGCGCAACCCTCGAAAACGTCATGTGAGAACTGGATTGAGATAATTCGGCAGCGAAGATCAATGATCTGCAATCACGGCATTTTCTTTCTTCCGATTACATTGTTCTTATTACCCTAAGCATGAGCTAGGTGGAACGAATGCTTGCCGACTTTGATAGCTCTTGTAAGAGATCACTCTTTAACAAAATCTTTCAAAAACGATGTTCATGAAGAGCAGATTGACTTTGCACCCCCAATTCACGCTCAACGGAAATGATGTCTTCGAATGCTCCAGTATGTCTATCTAGGCCGGGAAATCAATGTGATCAACGCTTAGCTCTAGAGTTGAGCAGAAGGAAGCGAGTGGGATGCGGAGCTTTCAAAAGCATCGACGATGTAGTGAAGAAAACAAAGAACATCCGACTCGTGCCCACCTTTTCTAGTCAAGGTATTTCCTGCGTCAGCGCATGCGTTAGTAACCCGGTCGGTGCGTAAGCATGATGAAAGGTCACTCAGCGTTATCGAACGCGCAGTCGAAAGGACGATGCTAGGAATATCACACAAGTAAGGGATGGGATCCGAAACTTCGACCTGCATCAACGATCAAGAATCAAAGATGCCGTTCTGTACGCCAATCAGTCGAAGCTAAGGTGGGCCGGACATGTAATGCGTGTGAATGGCAACCGATGGACAAAGGCCGTTAGTGACTGGATTCCTCGGGATGTCAAACGTACTGCAGGAAGACCACCGACCCGATGATCAGAGTTCTTCACAAAGAGCCTTGAAGGAAGATATGATGCTCGACGAGTCCCTCGAGCGAGCAGAACCCACTGGGCTACTCTTGCATGTGACAGAGGAAAATGGAATATTTACTGGCGCCCGCTCGAGTCACACGACGATCAGCGGGACTACAGGTGATACAGGTGAATACCTGGTTTAAGCGAGACGTCTTACGTAATGGTTATAGACACTGTTCAATACACATGGGATCGATCCGGCGCCCCGGACTCACCAAGTCTTTCTCCCCTACGAGGTTGACGAATAGGTACCAGACTGTCTGGGAGGAAGGCAATGCCGACTCAACACATCACCAGGACCCCGCGAGCCATTGTGTCGACCAGATTTGAATTCAGTCACCTCCTACGACGCTTTGTGAATTCGAATGAATGGTGCATTTCTCATATATTGATCAGTGCAAACACCTTTATCCCTTTATCCTTTTATGCTGTTGTGAGAAAAGTGGTTTTTTAAATGACCAGTCTTTTACATCTACTGTGCGGATGCCAGCACTTCTGACATTC